TTTTCTTACCTTTGCAGACAATCTCAAACAAGAGGCTTCCCAGGACTTGTTCCAAACGCCCCCTGACCTGTGCCAGCTCCCCCAAGCAAGGGGCCCCTGCAAAGCTGCTTTGCACCGATACTTCTATAACTCTACATCCAATGCTTGTGAGCCCTTTACCTATGGAGGTTGTCAGGGCAATGACAACAATTTTGAGACCACAGAGATGTGTTTGAGGATCTGCAAAGTCCCTGGTGAGTCCTCTGATAGACCCAGGAAGAGGAATCGAGGTGATAGGATGCTTGGTGTGAAGGGACAGGGTGTTGGTGAGGATGCTGGCAGTGATGCAGGTGACGATGTTAATATGGGAGTTAGTGATGATGATAATAAGGGGAATGAGATACCTGTCACTGATGCCTGGGAGGAGTAGTAATGAGGGTGCTGGCAGTGTAGACAGCAAGGCAGTGGTGGATGGTGGCACTGATAATAAAGATGAAAGGTGGGATGGTTATTGTAGCAAGCCCTTTTAAAATACATGATGTGAGGTGGGGGGTCTTCCCTGGTGGTCCAGTGACTAAGATTCTACCCTCCCAGTGCAGGGGCTGGGGTTTGATCCCTGGTCAGGGAACTAGATCCCACATGCCACAAGTAAAAGATCTGTGGCACATCTAAGACCCAGTGCAGCCAAATAAATAAATAAAGCACATGGTGGGGCTGGCAGAGGTGAAGACAGCAATGTAACCTTTATGGGGGATCCTGTTGGCAGAGGTGATGAATGTGGTTGTAGCAGTGATCATGGTGGGAGATGGTAGAATGAGGAGGTCCCCAGGCTGGTGGATGTTGAAGGGTTGAAGGGGTTGGGTAAGGAGTCCAACTTGAGGGCTCTGGCTCTAGGATGCCAACGGGCCAGCCAAGAAGGGAGCTGACTGTCATCTCCATCACAGAGACCAAGGACAAGAGCCGCTGACGGAGACACCTGCACGTTCCCAGGCTTCGACCAAAAGCTGCCTCGGCGGCCCTTCCTGATTGGAGGCCCTGTTCTGAGCCCATCCCGTATCCCTCTGGGACTGGGTCAATAAAGTGTTCAAAGTCGACGTAGCCTGGAGCCTTCCTACAAGGGCCCTGGGCTTGTCCTCAAAAATTGCTCACGTCACAGGTATGATCAAACCTGCATTACCCCACCCCCAGCCCTCCAGGCCCTCACTGTCCTGTGTTCCCAGAATGAAGACAGGACAAGAACACAAGTTCCCCTTTCACCAGCGGGTCATCAATCATCAAGGAAGCCAGACTGAATGGAAATCTGGGGACCTTGGATGTCTGTCCCTGGATCCTGGCCTGCTGCTCTTTCTTACCCAGGGCTGCATGACGAGCCAGAATGTTCTTCCTGTCCAGCAGGAACCATGGCCTGGTGTGGAGGGGGTAGAAATTCAGGCAATCTTGGCCAGCTAGGGTGACTGCCCTCTCTCTCCACCAAGAGGAATACTGGAAAAAGATTTTTACAAATTTTTTTAAATTGTGGTAAAATATATACAACACAAAATTTACCATTTGAACCATTTCTAAATGTACTATTTAGTGGTATTACATACATATACATTGTTGTATGTATATATACACCATGACCACCACCCACCTCCAGAACTTTTTCATCTTCGCAAACTGAAACTTTATATCTATTAAAAATTAACTCCTTTTTCTCCCTACCCTGGGCACTACCACTCTAATTTCTGTCTCTAAGAATTTAACTACTTCAGGAACCTCATAGGAGTGGAATCATACAGTATTTTTCCTCTCATAACTGGTTTGTTTGACTTAGCACCATGTCCTCAAAGTTTATTCATGTTGTAGCCTGTATCAAAATTTCTGTCCATTTTTTTGTTTGTTTGTTTTGGCTGCTCTGGGATCTTAGCTCCCTGACCAGGGATCAAACCTGTGCCCCCTTGCAAAGGAAGCTCGGGATCCTAGCCACTGGACCACCAGGGAAGTCCCAAAATCCCCTTCTGTTTAAAGACTAAATAACATACCACTGTGAGGTACATTTTGGATATCGGGTGTGGTCTGCCCTGACCACCCTGCCCACCGACCCCAATAACTCTCTCCTCATGTCCTACATCTGATCTAACCACTTCCTCTTGCTGGAAGGGAAACTGCTGCCCACAGTCAAGCAGCAATACTAGAAGCCAGAACCTGGAGTTTGCAGACCAGGTAGGTCCCTGTCCTAGCGATGTCATGGGGACCTTGGTGCGCCCTTCCCACCCCACCCCTTTCACAAGTCCTACTGCCCAGAAGCCAATTTAGACTGTGTGATATCACATCAGCAAGAACACACAGTAGCCAGCCTGGCCTGAAGCTGACCCAAAGGGGATCCAAAGCTGAATGGACCCTTGGGCTTTATCCAAGGCCAGAAATGCTTAATTATACATGAATAGGTATATATTTGAGAGAGTATTTTTTTCCTTTTTTCTTTTTTTTGGCCCACTGCGTGGCATATAGGAGCTTAGTTTCCTGACCAGGAATGGAGCCTGCACCCCCTGCAGGGGAATCACAGTCTTAACCACAGAGCGGAGAAGTCTCTCTACTCCCTTCATGTTCTGATCAGCTACTCAGAGACTGAGCTCCAGAAGACAGAGTGAGGGTTGCCTTAACCAGGCACTGTTCCAGACACTGTAGCTACGAAAGACAAAATTCTGGTCCAATGGATCTTAATTATTAATAAGCAGGATATGGAAGCTACACAGCACGTTAGATGGGGGTGAGGGCTACTGAGGAAAACAAGGCAGGCAAGCGGTGAGCTGGAAACTGGAGAGGCAATTTATAACCAGGGTAGCCAGGGAGACCTCTTGATAACTTGATGGTGAAGGTGGTGAAGAAGAGTTGGGATTCTTCAGTTAGGTTGAAGGTAGAGCAAACAGCTTTCTTGACAGGGCATACTGGAGAATAAGGAGAAGGATAAAAAATGAGTCCAAGGTTTCTGGGCAGCTGGGGAGATGACAGCTGTCATTTGCAGAGATGAGCTGATGATGGATGAGTATGTTTAGAGTAAGGAGAAGGATCAAAAATGAGTCCAAGGTTTCTGGGCAGCTGGGAGATGAGAGCCGTCATTTGTAGAGATGAGCTGACAAAGGGTGAGTATGTTTAGGGTCGGGGTGGAGATGATCAGAAGTTTGGGAGATAACTGAATTTGAGATGCCTTTAACATCCAAGCAGAGATGGCAAGTAGGCAGCTGGGTAAATGAGTGTGGAATTCAGGGAGGAGGGGACCTAAGATATGGGGTGTCATCTGTCTATAAATTATACAAGACATAGTAGTCAACGGCATTTCTAGGTGCTGACTTGGCTGCAGGTATAAACTCTACTGTTGACTTGGCAAACACCCCACTACATGCAGGCTGCCAAGACCACTTAGCTTCAGATAATCTACCCACCTGCATTCCTCTTTTTTTTCTTTTTCTTTTTATTTATTTGACTGCACCAGGCCTTACTGCAGTACGTGGGATCTTTGGTCTTCATTGCAGCCTGCAGGACCTTTGGCTCCAGCAGGGGAGTCAAAGAGTCTAGTTCCCTGTCCAGGGATCCTATCTGAGCTCATTGCATTGAGAGCCTGCGGTCTTAGCCACTGGACCACCAGGGAAGTCACCATACTCACCTGCATTCTTATGTCATACCCGGAGTGTTTACTGCTTGAAGTAAACTTGAGTAAAAGCCTCTTGACCCAGTTGCTTTTGCCCATGGTCTGGACTAGCTCACTCATGCCACCTCTTGTCCTACACATGCACACACATCACTTGTACATTCTAGAAGCTCTGGGAAAACCTTCAGAAGGAACCTGAACAGCCCATGTCTGTTAGCGGTACACCTGACACGTGCACTGAATTAAAGCCCCTGCACTCACACTGGTGGGGTTTCTAGAGTGGGGTTCCCCCCCTCACCTTACCCATCCTACCTCTAGCCCCCAGGCCCCAAGCCACAGTAGCCCACCCCACTCATAAAACCACGTCTGTTGACTGAGCACTGACTTGCCCTGAGTGCAGATGTATTCAGGTGGAGGGCAGCCCCTGTGCCTCCAAGAAGCTCCTAGTCTAGTGGAAGTTAAAGGACAGTAACAGCCAGGGAGCTAAGAGCTATGAAAGCTGTCCAGGGAGGGCACCCACAGCAGTTCAGTGTCAGGGAAGACTTCCTGGAGGAAGCAAAATCTCACCCGGTTTCGTCAGTCAGAGTGAACCTGGCAGTTGAGGGGGACACAGTGGTTAGAGCGGGGTATTCTGTTTGATGGGCAATCGACCATTAAGACTAGGCTGGGAGAACCAGGAGAAGGAGGGGCGGCCCACGAGTAACGTACACACGTGACAGACATGTCAGAGGAGGAGAGCGAAGGTGGGGGCAGGGCAGACATTTGCCCGAGGACGTGTTTCACAGGAATCTGGGGTTATACAGCCAGGACGTGGGCAGGGGCAGGCTTCAATCCAAGGGCTTCAAAGCCTGTGGGTAGTCTGAGGACCACCCAGAACACAGGCTCCTGAGGAGCCAGATAAAAACTGAAAGGCCTGGCTCCGCCCAAACTGATTGAACTCCGCAGGGTCTGGATCCCAGGAACCTGCATCATTTCACAAGCACCCCAAATGGCTGCAGTGCAGAATCTGGTTGGGAAATGGCCACCCAAAGCTCTTCTGTGTCTCCAGCGTCTCTCCAGAGCGACCCCTGGTGATTGGGGACTGGCTCTCAGGGCTCCTAAAAGGCACAGGATGATTCCCTTTCACGGTTGTGAAAATGTTGACATAAACACTCCCCATCAAACCCAGGGAGTTCTGGGAACCAGTCAAAGGAGGATGCTGGGGGAGGAGGGAAGCAGGAGATGAGAAGGAATTTCTGGCAGGGGTGGGAGGAGGCAGGGGCCTTTGGTTGGTTGATTGGTTGTTTTTTTGGCAGGGGAAGGGATCGGACAGGAGATCCAGTTCTGGTACCTGCCAAACTCTCCCTATGCCCCAATTCTCCCCAGGCCTCAAGGACAGGAGACAAACAACCATGGAATTAGATACTTTTTATTCCACAACCAGTAATCTCCACCTACCACACAGTGGTACGAATATCTGAGCACATCCTGTTACCCAGGCGGGCAGTGTCCAACAGAACTTTCTGCAGTGGTGAACACCTGTCCCCATGATGCTCAGTACAGAAGCCAGTAACCACTTCTGGTTACTGAGTACCTGAAATGCACTCAGTATGGATAAGGAAATGCATTTTCAATTTCAATTAAATTCAAAAGCCAACTCACGGCTACTGTCCTGAACATTGCAGCTCTAGGCCCTGGCCCATTCCACGACACAGCTTGGTTCAAAAGCCGCCCCGGGGGGAGGGCAAGTGGCAGGAAGAGCCTTGGGGGCAGGGCGGGGGCTGGGGGACTCAGCCACCACACCCCTCTCAGGAAAAACTGCAGCCCAACTGTGAGCAGGGCTCTCCTCAGAGCGGGGGGACGCCTCGGGCACGCCGGATGAGGTTGGCCAGCCGCTTGACCAGGCCACCCTTCCTGGGCTCCTCGATCTGGAAGGTGCGGGTGAGGAGGTTGTAGAAGGAGCCGTAGCACACGGCCACCACGGTGCAGGTGAGGCAGACGACGTTGTAGGGCATGCTGAAGTCCGGCGTGGGCAGGCTCACCAGCAGTGGCTCCGTGTAGAGCCGCACAAAGTAGCTGGAGCCGTCAGAGACTGGGAAGCTGGGGGTCGGGAGCGGGCAGTGAGGAGGGACGGCCGCTTCCCCACATCTCACCCCACCCATCCTCATCCCCTCTCTCTGGCCACTCGGGACAATGTCTGTGGGAAGCATTTTCAAAGCCTTCTTAGCCTCATAGCGTTTAAAGCTCAATACAGAGATCTGATCAAAGGAGAGCTACATTGAGGGAGAAGAAAGGGACCCTGCCTTCACCGGGCTGCCTCTTCCTAAGCCGTCTGATCTCGGCCTAAAGGTCATCTCCTCCACGCAGCCTTCCTGGATTACCCACCAGATTACTCCCCAGCAGTTCCTCTCTAGACTGTGCCCATGAGCAGGAATGGGCAAGTCCATTTTGTCTAGTGCTGTCCACATGGTGCTCTCTGAAGTACCCAGCATCTGATAAGTGCTCAGTTACACATATGTAAGAGAACCGATGAGTAAATGTCCTGCACTTCTCACCTTCTGATCTCCTAGCAGCTCTTTAGGATCATTCCATAAAGACTATATTAATAGTATTGAGAAGGCAATGGCACCCCACTCCAGTACTCTTGCCTGGAAAATCCCATGGACGGAGGAGCCTGGTAGGCTGCAGTCCATGAGGTCGCAAAGAGTCAGACATGACTGAGCGACTTCACTTTCACTTTTATGCATTGGAGAAGGAAATGGCAACCCACTCCAGCATTCTTGCCTAGAGAATCCCAGGGATGGGGTCGCACAGAGTCGGACACAACAACTGAAGTGACTTAGCAGCAGCATACTAATAGTACAGACCACTGGGGTTTGAATTAAGACAGGGCCAATCTACTCATTACTTCGCAAGCACAATCTCTAACCCCAGGCCAGCCCACAGGAGCCTGATCCTCTGTGCAGGTGCCACCAGGACACCAGCAGCCGGGCTCAGACTTACAGGCTGTTGAAGAGGGGGCTCTCTTCCCAGTCCCCAGGTTTGGCTGCCACCACACTGGGCACAAGCGCGCTGAGCACAGATGGGCTGCAGAGAAGCAGACAGACACTCCATGAGCCGTGCTCCCCACACTCCTCCCCCAGGGAGCGTGGTGAAGCAGACAGACACTCCGTGAGCCGTGCTCCCCACACTCCTCCCCCAGGGAGCGTGGTGAAGCAGACACTCCGTGAGCCGTGCTCCCCACACTCCTCCCCCAGGGAGCGTGGTGAAGCAGACACTCAGTGAGCCGTGCTCCCCACACTCCTCCCCCAGGGAGCGTGGTGAAGCAGACACTCCGTGAGCCGTGCTCCCCACACTCCTCCCCCAGGGAGCCTGGTGAAGCAGACAGACACTCCTCCCCCAGGGAACGTGGTGAAGCAGACAGACACTCCGTGAGCCATGCTCCCCATATTTCCCCCAGGAGGGCAGGGGCGGCTGGTGACGGGCCCCCACCTGACATAGAATCCGTGGTTGGGGTCTGGGGTATACTCGGTCCACTTAAGCAGCGCCCGCTCAAACTGGATGGAGACCTTGGTGATGGAGTTCGCCGGCAGCTGAATCAGCATCTCCAGGAGGTGGGGCTGCATCCGGTCCTGGGCAGGCTGATAGTGGATGTAACCTGGGGACCGACAGGGCACCCAGAGCTCTTTCCAGGGCTCAGCCCACCTGCACCGCTTGTACCTGTCCAGCCTTGGGGCTGGGACTGGGGAGCCGAGGAGGAGGAATCGGGATCACGGAAGGCAGGCAGGCCCCCGGGGGGGAGGAGGAGGGCAGGGAGGGAAAAGGTGTTTCCAGGGCAGCTATTCCAGGACATGCTCAACCTAATCCATCTTCACATCACAAAAACTGGGCCACCAGACGTCCAGTGCCTCCCGTGATGCAACAGGGAGTCCAGAGAACCACCTGGGAAGGTTTCCTGCCAAAAATATGAGACCTGAATCTAATCAAATTTCTAAAACTAAGCACTGATACTCAGGAATACACAGAGGATCGAGGAACATGTAAAACACGGGCCAACCAGAATGTAGAACATCCTATACAACAAATGACCCAGTTTTGCAACAAATCAATTTTTAAAAAACCACTGGGAACTGTTTTACAGATTAAAAGAGATGTAAGAGGACCACACCAATCAAGGCGGGAATAGCAGGGAAGATGGGGGTGAAAGGAAGTGTATATGGGAACCCCATACTTTCTGCTCAACTTTTCTGTAAACTTAAAACTGCTCTTAGAAAAGTAAGCCTTTTAATCTAAAAAGACAGAGAAACTTAAGAGCATATCAAGCAAATATACTGTGAGCACCTGGTTTTTACCCAGTTCAAATCAATTATAAAGTTATTTTCAAGACCACTGGGGTAAACAGGAGTGATAACAATAGGTTATACATATGTTTAAGCCCCTTACCTGTTAGAGATGTTTAAAGGTGAACTGATATGATACCTAGAATTTCTTTTAAGATACTCCAGCAAAAAAATAACCAAACCAAATAAATAAATAAATAAGGAGAAAGATGAAACAAAAATGATGGAAAGCTGTGGAACAGAACAGAGAGCCTAGAAATGAACCCATACTTATATCAGCAATTAATCTATGTCAAAGGAGACAAAAATACACAATGAGGAAAAGACAGCCCTTTCAATAAATGGTGCTGGGAAAACAAGACAGCTATATGCAAAAGAATCAAATCGGATTACTTTCTTATACCAAATACAAAAATAAACTCAAAATGGCTTAAAGACTTAAACGTAAAACCTGAAACGATGAAACGTCCAGAAGAAAATATAGGCAGTATGCCTTTTGACCTAGCAATGTTTTTTTGGATATGTCTCCTCAGGCAAAAATAAACAAATGTGGTTACATCAAACTAAAAAGCTTTTGCACAGTGAAAGAAACTACCAGAAAAATGAAAAGACAGACTATTGAAAGGGAGAAAGTATTTGCAAATGATATCGATAAGGGGTTAGTACACAAGATATACAAAGTACTTATACAACTCAATGTCAAAAAAGAAAAAATTGTTTTTAAAAATGGGCAGAGGACCTGAATAGACATTTTTCTAGAGAAGACATAAAGACTGGCCAACAGGCAGATGAAAAAATAGTTCAACATCACTAATCGTCACGGAAAGGCAAATCAAAACCACAATAAGATATCACCTCACACCTCTTGGGATCATCAAAAAGACAACAAATAACAAGTGTTGGTGAGTATACAAAGAAAAGGGAACCCTTGTGCACTGTGTTGGGAATGTAAATTGGTGCAGCCACTATCAAAACCTGTAGGGAGATTCCTCAAAATCTAAAAGCAGAACTACCATACAATCCAGCAATTCCACTCCTGGGTATTTATTCAAAGAAAACAAAAACATTAATTTGAAAAGATATAGGCACCCCAGTGTTCACTGAAGCATTATTTACAATAGCTAAGAAAACAACCTAAGTGCCCATCAATGGATGAATGGATAAAGATGATGTGGAATATTACTCAGCTATAAAAAAGAAGGAAATTTTGACATTTCCAACAACATGGATGAGCTAGAAAACTTTAGGCTAAATGAGGTAAGTCGAAGACAAATACTGTAAGATATCACTTATACTGGGAATCCAAAAAAAAAAAAAGAATAAATATAACCAAACAGAAGTAGTCATAGACACAGAGAATAAACAGGTGACTGCCCGAGGAGAGAAATAGATGAGGGAGGGTAAGAGGAACAAACTTTCAGTTGCAAAATAAATGAGTCACAGGTACAAAATGTACAGTGTGGGGAATATAGTCAATAAGTATGTCTTATATTTGTATGGTGACAGATGGTAACCAGACTTATCATGATGATCATTTTGAAAAGTACAGAAACACTGAATCACTTTGCTATTACCAGGAACTAGCATAGTGTTACAGATCAATTATACTTCAAAAATAAACAAAGTCGTAGAAAAAGAGATCACATTTGCTGCTACTAGAGGTAAGCAGTAGGGAGAAGGGTAACTGGATGAAGGCAGTCAAAAGGTACAATCTTCCAGTTCTAAGACAAGAATTGGAAATGTAACGTAGAACATAATAAATATGTTAATGTTGTACATTACACATGAAAGCTGTTGAGAGAGTAAATCCTTAAGAGTTCTCATCACAAGGGAAAAATTTTTTTCTATTTCTTTAATTTTGTATCTGTATGAGATGATGGATGTTCATTAAACTTACTGCGGTCATTTCATGATAGATATAAGTCAAATGAGCATGCTGAACACCTTGAACTTATCTTGTGCTATATGTCAATTATATCTCAATGAAACTAGAAAAAAAATCAACAACAAACAAAAAATGGGATATGAAGCTGGAGACTGCCGAGGCTGGGTAATGCATACCTGGGAGTTCATTACTCTGTTCTATTTGGGTATGTATTTCAAATTTGCCAGAGCAAAGATAAAACAAAACAGGAACTTCCCTGGTGGTCCAGTGGTTAAGAATCCGCCTGGCAATATAGGGGACACAGGTTCAATCTCTGACCTGGGAAGATTCCACATGCCACAGAACAACTAAGCCAGTGCGCCAGAACTACTGAGCCTGAGCACCCGAGAGCCCATGACCCACACCTACTGAAGGCCACGCGCTGTAATACCGAGCCCTCGTGCCGAGAGCTTGCGCTCTGCACCAGGGAAGCCACCACACCACGAAGCCAGAGCACCTCAAGATAAGCCCCCGTTTGCCACAACTAAAGAAAGCCTGTGCTCAGCAACGATGACTCAGTGCATCATTGAAAATAAGTAAAACTATTAACCATGGGTTTGAACATATGGGAAACCACAAAGAGGTTTAGAAAAGATTATAAGTCTAACTGTTGGGGTTGTACTTTAACGTCTTCCTAAGAAGTGTTCCTTAGTCTCCCTCCACTCCAAAGGAAAACAAGTGCTTTTGTGCTATGCCTGGCATCTCACAGCACTCAGTAAATATTAACTCCTCCTCAGAAAAATAACAGAAAAAACAAACAAATTTTTTAAGCTGCACCTCTTTATCCCACCCAAGTAAGCAAAAACCACCTACTTCAGCTCTGTCACCTTCTTTGTATCCAATACTCTGTTTTTCTGGCTAGCCCCTTCTCCACCTCAAAGTCTAGGAATCATCTGAAACAAAACAGAGCTCCAGGAAAGAGGAGGAAGCAAGTGAGAAAGATAAGGAAACTCCTGCCTTTATCACATCCTACGAAGATCACCAGGACTATGTGGTTTAACTACTTTGACTTTATAAACCCTTGCAGATCTGGCATTGGTGAGGTCATTCAATGTCTCAAACTACTCATGCCTGTGCAGACTGCGAGGTACTTCTGGAATTACCCTGAGAACTGAGGTGTTGGGGGACGTGGCGGGGGAGGGCGGTGGGGTGGGGCCTCGGCGCTCACTTGGTTTGTTCTCCTTGCCCCTGGAGGCGATGGAGAGCGTGTGCACGTACAGCCGCAGGTACCAGGGCACGGCGTCCAGCAGCAGCACAGGGAAGGCCCGGGACGGGTGGGTGTTGTAGAGCAGGGTGCTCAGCTCCCCGCCCTGCAGCCCGTAGCCGCTCACATACCGCTGGGCATGCAGGAAGGGCGCCGGGGGGGCCTCTGCTCAGAGAAAAGCCAACAGTTAACCACGCCTTTAAAGAAAAGAAGCAGCGGGGGTCACTCCCCAAATCCACTCCCTGGGCCAGGTTCAGAGCCTCAAAGCCAGGAAGGGGAAGGGGAGAGGCTTTGCCAGAACTGGGAAACCTGCATTCTGGAACCATCCCTGTCTTCCCTAACTCACAGCAATGACAACAGAATTACTGTTATTTACTGAGTACTAACAAGGCCTGAGCTTTCTGCCGGTTCCAACCCAAACCAAGTGTTTTCACAATATTTCACGCTTTTCCTTGATAACACTGAACGTGATTGCGACTAATTGTTTGAGGTCTGCTTCAACTATTATATGTTAATGTTTCTCAAAATCAGGGTATTTGTGTCAAAAAATTTTTTTGTTAATTAAATGAACAAATGCATGAATGACTTCCATGTTTTCCATTAATTATCTCATCTAACCTGTTAGGTATTACTGTCCCCATTTTCAGCATGAGACAGTGAAGTTAGGAACCTTCAAGGTCATAGAGCTTAGAAGAGGTGGTGTTAGAACCAAGACATCTGACTCCAGATATCTGGATCTAAACATAAGCTTGTTGTCTCCTGGTGAAGAGATGGGACTGTGAGTCTTCCCCCACAAAATGAAATCACTGTAGCCCATGGTGGCCGTGGCGGCCCGCCCTCCACCCACCATTCTCTGGGGGCCTCTTCCACTTCAGCTGGACATTGAGGCTGCGCGAGGTGCTGACCACAGCTGCATCCAGCAGGTCATAGACGGCGTAGGTCTTGCGGGTGCCCAGGATGACGTCCTGGTATGTGGTAAGGGGGGGCGGGTACACCTCCAACGTCTCGTTGTCCTGGAGACACAAGGACAGGGCTGAGAAGCGAGCAGAGGGGCAGGCTGGCCTTGGAGGGAAGGGGCTGACGCGTGTGGCTGGAGACCTCAGTACCTGGCCGGAGCTGGTGATGTCCACATAGACTCGGCTCTCTGAAGCCAAGGGGCAGGGCTCGGTGAGAGTTCGGGAGAACATCCGGAAGAGGGACCAGTCTGGGGAGCAGAGGGTGGGGATGAACTGGGGCAGGACTAGGCCTGCTCCGCACAGATGGGGTGGGGCTGGCGATGGGTGGGTAGAGATGCCAGAGCAAGGGAGCTTACCCTTCTTCCCCTGTCCCGTGATGAAGGCATCAAATACAACAGAAAGGGTCTGCCTCAGCTCCCAGGAGACGCTGGTACAGCGTGCATTCTACGAGGGCCAGACGGTAGCAGTGAGGACCTACCTCTCCCCCAACCTCACAGCCCCAGGGACTGCAACCTGGACACAATCCCTCCTCTATTCCGTATCTCCCCATCAGTTTGCTACCACTCCCTACTGAGCACGTGACCCTCTGCCAGCACAACCTGCGCATCAGTGGGATGATGCGCATCCCAGTTGCCAACAACTGGATGAACTGATACTATTATTCTCACCTGATGGATGAGAAAACCAGGGAAATAAAGTGACCCACTCAAAGTCAAGTCAGCTGGAAAGTGGCTGAGCTAGCAGGTGTACCCACACAGCTACGGCTCATGACCACCAGGCCCCACGACGGAGATTAAGTGGTGGCTTGCCAGACAACCAGTCGGTTTCCTTGGTGCGTGACCAAATCCCTGAATCACCATCATCACGTCCCCCACTGACCACTGGCTCAGCCCTCGACAGACACTGGGCGATGTGCTTTACCTGCACCTTCTCTCACAGCCCCGGGATGGCCCATCTCCCATTCCCCAAGACTTACTCTGCAAACCGGGCGGATATGCACTGCCTGGGAGTGGTAGCTCGTGTGGAACAGGCGATCAGCCTTCAGCAGCACTGAGAGGCCTGCCTGGAGGAGGCAGTGTGAGAGCAAAGGTCAGTGCCCTGCATGGTGATGCGCCTGGGCGTGGGGCCGAGGCAATCTGTCGGGCAGGGAGGGGGCATCAGGCCACGCCATCCACTCTCTGGGACTCCCACCTGCATTCAGGCCCCTCGGGCCTCACCTTGGAGCTGCAGGGCAAGAGCTTCTTCCACGGGGTGAGGTTCTCAGTGCAGACGACCTCCCGTGGCAGCACCGCGTAGCGCAGGAAGGAGTGGTCCGTGCCTGGGGGAGACAGGAGCCTGGCTGGGGAAGGCCCTGGAGCCCCACTCCTCAGGACCCGCACACACTCTCCAGCACCACCGCCCCCACAGCCTCGTCCCTTCGGGAGAAAGCAATGCAGAGACAGTCTTCCTGGGGGGCCTGCCCACCCTGGGGATTTATGACCCGGCCCCGCAGACAGAGGAGGAAGCAGAGGGGAAAGGAGGCAAAGGCCAGGATGAGAGGTCTCAGGAAGAAGGACAGGATGCGGCGGTCTCACCGTTGGCCAGCCCCAGGGGTTTGAAGGAGGCGGTGGGCGTGACCGTGTTGGTGGAGTCGATGAAGTTGAGAGACGCGCAGAAGATCCCCGACAGGACATTACTGAGCTCCTTCCAGGACTCATCCACGCTAGATGGAGACACAAACCCACTCACTGTCCCGGGGCTTCATCTGCCCCCCTCGCTCAGAGACTGCAGCTGGCTGCCAAGCCATGAGGCCGGCCAGCTGCTGGAGCCGCAACCGCCCCCGCGGGGCCTGCGGCCCGGCTCTCCCCGTCAGCCCCTTCGTCCTCCCTCTCCTCTGAGCATCCCCGCATCCCCGCCGGCCTCCGCTTAGGTGGCCCCTCTTGGCACCTCGCGGTGCTGCCTCACTCCTTACGCGCCCCTTCCAGGGTGTTCCCTCCTCCAGGCAGCGTTCCGGCCCTCCTCAACCACAGTTTCCTCCCGCGCTATTGCCATTCTGACCGTCCATGCCTCTCACCAGGGCCTTCCTGGGAAATGGCTGGGTGGCAATAGAACCTGCTGTAAGCATCTTCTCTCCTCGACTAGGCTGAGAGCAAACTGAGAAAAGGGAGCAAGGCTGGGTCACCCACGTACAGTCCACAATGCGATACAAAGTGCCCCACACCCCAGGGGCTGAGATGGGCCCCCTGATCCACCCTGAGGTGTGCTCAGCGGGGCAAAACCACCTACTTCCCTGTGAACACCCTGGTGAGTCCTGGTTCTGCCCTCAGGATGGCAAGTCTTACATCGACAAAGGTTCATGGACAAGGGAAAATAAGCGTCCCAGGACCCCAGAGAAACATCGAATTTAATTAGGTGGTTTTTTTTCTTTACAGAAACAGCAAAACAGATTTGCTCTTTATAGAACTAATAGAATAAAAGTAGATTTCTGAACATCACCTCCACACCACAGGCAATGATGAGGGGAGTCAGTGACAGCAGAGTGGTTGGGATAAAAGGCAAAGAAGCCAGAGTTCAGGCAAGAGCGGAAGCCCTGACCAGTGTAGGGGCTTGCTCTTCATTTGATACCACCAGAGAGCTAGCCTGGGGTTTTTCAACAGCCCTGTGTCCAGAGCTTTCCAACTGCTCCAATCCTTATGCCTCAAATAAAGACTGCAAACTGGAAGCCTGAAAACGCTACCCAAACCATAGCCATGTTCCATTTGCTGTGCACAACATTAATCCATAGGTATTTCTTAAATTTTTAAGTTACTTGCTGATATTTAAGCTTGCCAATTTTCACATTAAAATCCAGATTTCTGGGAAAAATGACAGTATTTGACCACAGTAGGTCTCTGTTCCCACATGACAACAATCCACTGGGGCTGAGAGGTGGCTGTCCTCCCAAGCTGTCCAGCCTGCCACAGATAAGGCCCTAAATTTTTTTTTAAGGCTTTTTGTTGTTTTTTTTTTTAATATGGACCACTTTTAAAGTCTTTATTGAATTTGTTATAGTATTGTTTCTGTTTTATGTTTTGGTTTTTTTGGCCATGAGGCATGTGAGTTCTTAGCTCCCCGACTAGGGATGGAACCCGTACCCCTTGCATTGGAAGGTGAAGCCTTAACCACTGGACCACCAGGGAAGTCCCCCTAAATTTTTTTTAATTATACATATGTGCTGATTTCCCATAGTGAGATTAAGAGAATTTGGGCTTCCCAGGTGAGGCAATGGTAAAGAATACACCTGCCAATGCAGGAGATGCAAGAGATGCAAGTTCCATCCCTGGGTCAGGAGCATCTCCTGGAGGAGGCAACGACAACCTATTCCAGTATTCTTGCCTGGAAAATTCCACGGGCAGAGGAGCCTGGAAGGCTACAGCCCATGGGGTTGCAAAGAGTCTGATACAACTGGGTGAGTGAGCACACACGCACCTGGTCCAATCACAGTACCTAACCCATCCCTCCGCTGAAAACCGGTCATTTCTCGAATACAGAGATATGATGTCTTGCAGGCCAGTTCTAGCCCACATATATTTTATTTGGCCCTTGTGGCATTTTATTATTATGTGAATGAATGTCTTTAAAAGATTGTCCAGTTTGCCACAGCTTTCTAGTGCCTTACATCCAAGTAGGCTTCAGATAACTGCTATCTATCTCCGTAGATACATGCGACCACAGGTCTGGATGCATCAGGGGAAGGAAACATAAGCAAAGTCAAGAATGCCACCAGGCCATAATACTTCTTACTTCCAGTGCAGCTTTACCCCCATGGAAATGCTTCCCCCAAAGTGGCAGGATGACAACACTTGCCATGCCCCATTCCCGCCATGGCCTGCCACAGGCCTCAAGGTGGGCACTCACTCGGTGACGGTGTCTTGGAACCAAGCCCACAGCTCTGCCCCCGATGGGGCCTGCAAGAAGGGTGTCCCCCAGTAGCGAGTCCTCCAGAAGCCTTGGGTTAAGGACAGGTGCAGTTCGCGGAGAGAATACTTGGAGATCAACTGCCCCAAGGCTTTGGGGAAGAGCCTGTAGTGAGACACTGGAGAAGAGACAGCAGGGGAGTGATGATCCTGAAAGGAGGGCTCTCAGCCACCGCAAAGAAACCATAAATACACCCAAGCTCTGGGGTCAGAGGAATCTAAATTCCCGACCAGTCAGTCACTGACTAAGCAATGTGATCCTGGACCGGTGCCTTTATCTCTCTATACCTCCAATTTCTTCCCTGCAACCATTCACTCAACTCAGCACCGTGCCCAGCACTCAGGATAAACGGTAATCGTCAACAGCATCCTTATCACTGCCATCCACGGATGGTGCTAAAGGTTTAGGGTGGTAGCGTGAAGCTGCGGAGAGACCACCGCACTAGAAGTCAGCCCTCCCCGGGCCCCAGTTTCCTCACTGGTACAATGTGATTCCTCAAAAACTGCCCCACCCTTCAGCCAAGGACCCACGCCCCGGGACCAGAACCTCACCGAGGGGTCAGTCCCTGCCCCCAAGGCTGGCCTCCACCCCACTTCCAGCAGGTGCCACAGGGTTTTCCCATCAGTCTCCCCTCCTCACCTCCTTCCCGCTGCAGCTCCGAATCCCAGCGCGTGCGGAACTGGAAAGTGGCGGCTACGTCCCCTGAAGGCAGCGGGGTGATGACTAGCTCCTCCCGCAGGCTGTCGCGTGGGGGCTCCGCTTGGCCCCAGACGCCCGGTCCCAGAAGCAGCAGCACCAGCAGAACTAACCGCACAGCCGCCGCCATGCCTGCGGCTGCTTCCAGCTCCCAGTGGCCCCACCCCTGCGAAAGGCCGGCCTCCAATAGGAAGAGCGGAAGAGGAGTGACTTCCGGTGCTGTCCCGGAAGTCGGGGTGCGGCTGTCAGAACGACAGGCTGGATAGGCCCTTCAGTATGGTGTGTGTGTAAAGGGGAGCTGACCGATTGGGGTCTGGATGGTGGACCCCTTTCCCTACGATAAAGTGCTTAGCCACCACTGCCATTGTGCCTCCGTGATAGCTGAAGAGGCAGACTGCAAAGGTTATTTCTTCTGCGAGGTCCCACGGCCGGGCCCGTGCCTCCAGTAGCCTCTTGACTCTGTTTGCTCGGTCCTAAGCCTAGCCAGCTCTTATGGTGCAAAACTTCCCCACAAAACCCTCAAATAACCCGCCCGTTTATTATGAAAAATTTCAAAATACAACAAAGGTGAAAGGATGAATACCTGTTACAATGAACACCTGTTTCCCCATCACCTAGATTCCACCGTTATCATTTTACTATACTTGTCTTATCACATTTATAAGTCTACCTCCCACAATTCATCTTGTTTTGATGCATTTCAAAGAGATTTCAGACATAAGGACACTTCTCTTTAAATAGTTTCGCCTGCACATCATTATCCAGAGTTCAATACCTGTTAACATTTTTCTTTTGGTGTAAAATTTACAAACACGACTGTTCAACTCAAAAGTGCACATCCATTGAATCCAACAAATGGATACACTGGTGTAACTCCTATCAAGATATGTTCGTAAAACCCCTGAAAGTTGGCTAATGCCCCTTGCCACTCGACCCCGGTGCCCCCTGCCTTCCAGAGGCAATGACTGTTGTGATTTTTCTCCACAAAATGGATTAATCTGTTCTAGAGCTCCGTATAAATGAAATCATCATATACTATGTACAGTTTTTTGTAAAAGACTTCTTTCATGGGAATAATGTTTTGTTGAATCATTCACATTCTTGCATGTACCAGCAGTTTGTTTGTTTCATTGCTGTATAGCATTCATACATTGTCTGAATATACCATAGTTTATCTCTTCTGTCCATGTACACCTGAGCTCTTTCAAGTTTTTAGTTCTTATGAGCTTGGCTGCTATACAAGTTACTTTGTAGGAGTAAGCATAACATTTCTTTTGGATAAATATTTACGAATGGTGAAAGAGAACATATGTTTAATTTTATAAGAAACTGCTAGATCTTTCTCCAGAAGGTATCATTTCATACTTGTATCAACAATGTATGAGAATTCCTATTGCTCCACATCCCAGTGAACATTTAACTTGGGGGTCTTTTTAGTTTTTACCACGTAGGTGTGTATGTAGTGGTATCTCACTATGGTTTTAATTTGCATTTCCTTAGTACCTAGTGATGTTGAACATCTTTTCATGTATTTGTTGGTCATTCATATATTTTCTTTTGCAAAGGATCTGTTTAAAATCTTTTTCTACCTCACCCCTTCTGTGCTGGTTTGAGTTGGAGGGGCTCCAAACAATTCTTGCTTTGGTTTTTTCACCTGCCTAATCAGGTGCACATTCATGATGGGCTTTGTAGTCTCTTGGTAAAATTCACAACCATTTTGGCTCTGAAGAGCCAAATTTGGTGTCCGCCAGGTCTACATATACCCTTAGGCAACCAGAGAGGAAGAGTCAAAAAGATGTCTTTATCTCAGTATACCCTCATTTTACCTACATCCAGTGTTCCTGCCCCACCAGACATGGAACAGAAGGAAGGCTTTGAGCTCAGATGTGAGACAGATGTGGGTTCAAATCCCCACCCCAGCCTTTAGTCCATATGAGCATTAGCAATCTGAGTGCCACTCTTCCTGCTCTGTAAATGGATGAACCTACTTTCAGGGTTATTGTAAGGATCAGAAATTAGGTGCATGTAGAATCTGGAATGGAGTAAGTGCTTAGTAACTTCTGCAAGCTGTTACTCAAAAAAAAAAACTCTATGAGGTGCATAGCTGTGTGTGCATGCTAAGTCGCTTCAGTTGTGTCTGACTCTTTTCAACCCTATGGACTGTAACCTGCCAGGCTCCTCTGTCCATGGGATTCTCCAGGAAAAAACACTGGAATGTGCTGCCATGCCCTCCTCCAGGGGATCTTCCTGACCCAGGGATTGAACCTGCATCTCTTGCAGTTCCTGCATTGTAGGCAGATTCTCTACCGCTGAGCCACCAGGGAAGCCCACTCTATGAAGAAGATACTATTATATCCATTTTACAGATGAGTAAACTGAGGTACATAAACCAAGATAACTGCCTAAGATCACAATGAGTCAGAACTCAAATCCACACTACCAACTTCAAAGAAAATGTTAAGGTAGTTGCAATTATGATAATGATTACCTTGTACTTCTATGCTTTGTTTTCTTTTGAAATTGCCTGTCCCCATCACTCAAGATCCAGCCACCCCCAGAGAAGACTTACCTTCTCCCTCTCTGGTGCTACAACCCACTTTATATTTCCATTATCTGTGACCATGTCCCTTCCTGGAAGAACTCTTGGCCACATTAGTATTTCTGTTGCCTAAGCAAGGAAGCTAGCACAGAGTGGGGGCTCAGTAATGTCCGGATGAACAAACAAACTTGACAACCATTCCACGTTGTCCCCACATCGCTGTGCTGTTCACAGTTATTAAGTCTTGTGCACTTCTGGGGACGGCTGCAGTGTGAGTTGTCCAGGGAATCTTCCACTGAGTTGTGGCCCCTCCACAGCACAGGATTCTACAGGAGGAGGCTGTCTTCTTCCCTCTGCTTCAGGGTCTATGACAAGCCTGTGCCACAGACAGAAGATGCCACACTGTGGTTTAGAGGCTGAAAGCTGGGCTGCTTGCCTTGGAGTTGGCACCAAGTCATCACCCCCATCTCTAAGGGCCCTCTGTGGCCTCAAAAAAACAGTCAGCCGGAGATGCTGGCTCTGAGGGCCAGCCAAGGCCCTGTGGTTTGGCAGAAGAAGAGATCATTGTCCAAACAGGAAGTGGTCCTGGGGTCTCAGCTGACCCTAGATTTTCCCAGGCAGGGCTGGGGCTCATAGCAGCTGAACTGAAGGCTCCCCGTAGACTCACAAACAATTCCACTCCTCCAGAGTGCTGTAGATCTCTCTCCCCAGCCAGACTCCCTACCCCCATTAGCACTGTATGCCCAGGGTTGTTGACATGTTGACAGCAAACAGGTCAGGCTAGCTTCCCACCATTCACCCTGGATGGGGAGGGGGGGATACCAGGAACTGAGAAACTCTGAGGAGCTGAGCTGCAGATATCATAGGGTACAGCCCAGGAGAAGGCTCAGCCACTAAAGTCAGGAGGTTGAGAAGACCATGTCTTCTGTGTGCAGTGAAGTCATTGGCAACCCAGAAAAGCCACAAAATTTAACATGAGGCTGGGCCCTGGCCCAGCTTAGTGGATGATCTCAACTTGGACACAGACTTTTAGACAAAAGATGCACAGATCTCCCACCAGTTTTTCAGTAGTACTAGGAAAAGCACTTAAGAACTGTCACTTACAATGGCCCCCTGCAGGGATGGAAGCAAAATGGGGCTATTGGGAAGCCTGCAGCCCCGTCACTCAGCCTGAACTGCACAGAGAGCTTTGAGATTTAGGCTGAAGGTCACTGATCCCATGGATGGTTTGATGTATGAAGGGAGGTGGGATGATTTCTTTTTCCTAAGATGAAAAATGACTTGATGATCCTTAAGGTTAGGTCCTATAACCCTCCTTTCATTCCATCTTTCCCTGGGTAAGCTCACTGACACCCATGGCACGCTCATCACCTATACACTGATAATTCATGTATTGATCTTCCAACCCAATCGTTTCTTCTAAATCCCACACTCACAGGTCCAAATGCTTACTCAAAATGTCCTCCTGGTCTCCAAAGCACCTCAAGCTCAACATGTCCAAAACCCAATTCATGACCGACTTCTCAAATCTGGCCCTCTCCTAAATTCTCCATGTGGATGGAGAAAAACTCCGGACCATCCCTCTGCGCAAGGCAGAGGCAATGGTGACGCCCTCCAGCCAGTCCTCGCTCACACCCACCTATCTATAAATATTTCAAAATTTGCCTCCCCAACATCTCTTCATTCCTTCCACTTTTCTACATCCCCCACCTCCACCCTATCCCATTTTTATCTGGATGGTTGCAACCATCTCCTGGTTTCCAGACATCCACTCTGGTCCCCTCCAATCAGTACATCTCCTCAAGGAGTCCTTCCAGCCATTCTTCCCCTAAACTACTCCTACTCCGCCTTCAGATCTCAGCTCAGAACCACTTCCTCCAGGCAAATACCTCGTGACCTTTCTTAATAGAATATTAACTCCTTCCCCAAACGAGTCCTAGCTGCAGTTTTACATTTGGGCCCCGGGAGACCCTGAACTCCCTGAGCGTAAGACTGGGTCTTCCGTGTGTGTGTCTGTGTGTGCGCTACTACCACACCCCCAAGACCAGACTCAGTGTCTCACACATGTTAAACACTGACGTTTAATACTTACTGAATGAATGTCATTTGTTTACACTCAGCCTCAACCCAGTTAAACTAATCATCACCACTGTCTTTCGGTCCACTGTTATCTCTTGGGCTTCCCTGGTGGCTCAGAGGGTAAAGCGTCTGCCTGCAATGCAGGAGACCTGGGTTTGATCCCTGGGTCAGGAAGATCCCCTGGAGAAGGAAATGGCAACCCACTCCAGTACTCTTGCCTGGAAAATCCCATGGACAGAGGAGCCTGGTAGGCTACAGTCCATGGGGTCGAAAAGAGTCGGACACAACTGATCGACTTCACTTTACTTTATCTCTTGCATGGATTATTGTTATGTCTGTCTGTCCAGAACACGCCCTCTTCCAGTATGTTTTCTACACTGCAGCCAGAATTATCATTTTAACAAGAAATGTCAATCACTTGTAATCCTTCATTACTCCCAGTAAAGTTCAAATTTGTAATGTGTAAACTGCTAGTTATCTACCCAATGATAACTGTCCTCTTGTTTCTTAGTAACATAACCCTGATTTTAACAGCTCCCCTACTAAAGGGGGGCTTCTGAGAGGTTTGACAGGAAGTATAGAAATCAGATACACTGGTAATTAAAACTTGAAAGGTTATTATCTTTCCAAAGGCCAAGATTTCCTTTCTTCTAGATAATGCTGTGTCCCTATAAAATACCTGTAAATGAAATATTACTCATGTTACCAAGTTCTGCCAATGAGATGAAAATGGATGCTACTGTTTAGAACTTCCAAATAAGGTTCTCAACGTGGGAAGAGACAGCGACCCGTGCCTCTTTTGCCCATCCTTAATTTCTTCACCTGCTTTCCACCAGTTTCAAGGACTGGGGACTCAACAGCCATTCTAGACATGAGGTATCAATGAGAATTCCAGCCATGTGCCTTAGATGACTGAGTAAAAAGAGCTGAAAAGGACGTTGGTGTCCAGTAACCGTAGAACTTTGGACTTCTTTTATGTGAGGAAACAAAATTTATATCTTAAATCACTGATATTTTCCTAGCAGTTAAACTGAAACTTGATACTGGCTTTAAAGTATTTCCTCATCTGACCTTTGTCAGATCTTAATCCTCCCTAATCTCCTACTCAAATTCAACAATTCAGCTATGCTAAATGTTTTTCAGTTCCTCAAGACTATTTCTCTCCATTTAAAGTTCTTCCAAGCTGCTCTTTCTGCCTGGATTACAGCGCCCCCCGCACCACACACACCCCCTCCAGCTAACTCCTTCTTATCCTTTGGATCCCAGCCTGAAAACCAGCTCTCCAGTGACCACATGAGCTAGATTAAGATGCCCCTCTTTTCTGCTAACAGAAGAGTTCCTCATCATGCTACTCATTACGCTCAGAACTGTGGTATTTTCTTGATTCTCTCCTCCCTAAAAGCAGGAAGCCTATCGTGTTCGAAACTGTATTCCAAATGTCCAGCTAATTCCAAATAACTCCTTCTAGAATAAACAGAGCAAGTGAATGATGGGAATATGGGCTTCCCTGGTGGCTCAGTCGGTAAAGAATCAGCCCACCAATGCAGGGGACCCAGTTCAATCCCTGGGTCGGGAAGGTCCGCTGGAGAAGGGAATGGCAACCCACTCCTGTATTCTGGCCTGGAAAGTCCCATGGACAGGGGAGCCTGGTGGGCTACAGTCCATGGGGTCGCAAAGAGTCAGACAAGACTTAGAAACTAAACCACCACCAGAGAGCTAAAGAAATATATTGGGTTTGATATCTGTCCGATGTGAAAGATGAATGGAATGGTTGGTATATTGTTATCTGTTTATTATTCACACCATGCCCTGTTCCAAAAAGGATGGAAGGAAGCAGGATGGCTGCAGGACCATCTCCCTGGGAGTGTTAAGGAGTTCACGTCCACTTAGAGACACTGGTTTAGGAGACTTGGACAGTCTGGAGGAGGGAAGAGTGCTAAGAAAAGCAGTGGCATCTCATCCTATCTCATCTTCCATCTCCTCACTCGTGGGCCCTACTTCAGGAGTAAGCCTAAACCATGGTATTTTCTTGATTTTTTTCTCCTCCATGAAGGCAGGGTGCCTGTCTTGTTCAAAACTATATTCCAAATGCCCAGCTAATTCCAAATATTCTAACGAATAGCGGAAGGATGCAGCAGGGGAAGGTTAGCAGTAAAGCAGGAGCGGGTTAATTCCCAGGAAGGCACACCATCCCACCCTCCTTTCCTCCCCCTGGTGCCTACTGCAGTAAAGAGTCTGGTCTTCTCTGAAGGGCTCTGGCCGGGCCTGGGGCCTCCAGTGGAGACGAGGCAGCTCACACAGTCTGTAGGTGGGGGCCCACTGCTAGCTGCAGGCTCCGGGCTCTGCCCCGCCATCATGGCCTCCATCCTCCTCCTCGTCAGACTGTGCCAGGGGCGTGTCTGCTCCGCCGTCACTGGCATCGGGGCTGTGCAGGTTGGTGGAGGAGTCGGAGGACGAGGAGGAAGTACGAGACGTCGTCCTGTCTGGCGTGGGCACCGGCAGGCTCGGCTCCTCAGGACAGTCGTCCGCCCCTGCCCAGGGAGAAGAGCCGGTCATGGCCACGAACAGAGGTTCAGAGGACTCTCGGAGAGGATGGGGCCGGGAGACACTGAGGCCCAGGGAGTTGGCCAGTCACCCCGCCAGTCTCCTGGCTCCCAGTTCCCCTCACTTCACTAAGCTCTAGAGTCAGTCAAGTTGCAAGTTCAAGTTCTAGCTACGTCACTTCACTTCCATGCTACTGAGAAGCTTTAGGCGAGTCACTTCCCCTCTCAAGGACTCTGCTCCTCCTCGGTAAAAAAGGGGGCGCCAACATTCCAGAGGGGTTCTCAGGACAAAATGTGAGAATGTTTATAAAATATCTGGCACACACACACACACACACAAAATGTCTGGCACATAATATGCCATCAATAATAGCAGCACTTTTAAGTAAGACAGTATCCACTAATATCTTACAGGTTAAGCATGTGGGCTTTGCAGCTTTTCCACTTTCTGGCTCTGTGACAATTTCTCTGAGTCTAAGATACTTCTTTCATATATATATATATAATTATACATATATAGTATGACATGTGAGATCTTAGTTCCCCAACCAGGGTTCAAATCCATGCCCCCTGTGGTGGAACGCACAGGGTCTTAACCACTGGATCACCGGGGAAGTCCCTCTAATGGCTTTCTTTATAAGATGGGAATAATCCCACCAGCCCTAATAGAACACAGTAAGGATTGAGATAATACATGTAAAATTCGTTAGCACGGTATTAGAAACCTAATAAAGTGCTAAATAAATATTAAGATGACTAAAACTGCTTCAGTTGTCTAAAGATCATATTTTTACATTATTTATTATGTTAACTAATTACATTGATTTCACAAATAAAAAAATTGACAAAGACTAAGGCAGTTGGGCCTTCTGAGAGGTTTGGATTAGGAATCTGTAACCCAGCTTCCCCCAAGGTCAGCTTCCCTAAAATCAGGACAAGCAGCTGCTTCGTGGGTGGAGGAGCCCACGCCCAGCCCCTCAGTGCAGACTCCCCCACCCAGCTTTGACATCCAGCTCTGACCAACCAGTGCCCACGGGCCCAAAGCAGAGGGGCATACCAGACGTCTGCGGGGTTGGTGGAGGGTCTTCACAAGGCAAGAACACGTCTGCTCCATCTTGATCCCCCAAGTCGATAAGCTCCACTTGCTCAAGTGTGTCCACATTCACCTCCATGGATGAGATACTACCTATGGGGGCTGCAGATCAAGAAGGGGGCAAGTTGGGAGGAGCCAGGCCAACACTGATCAGATGGTCAGAGACATCGGTCAGGTCTGGAGATAGATGTTTAAATGGCCCAGAAAACCATCAGGGAGGGACCAAGGTCCAGGACTATAGGACTTCCTCCCTGCCCCGCCCCAGTCCCTTTTCCCAGGACTCAGAACTCACGTCTGTGCGACTCAAGATGCAGGTGGGACAGGGGGAAGACAAACTCCGTCTCAGGCTGTAAAATGTCCTCGAAGAATTTCTGCCGCTCCCGAAGCCGGAGCTGCTGGCGCTCCAAGGCTGCCCGCGGATTTGGGTCCATGTCAGCTCCTAGAATAGCAAGGAGAGCTGTGAATCGGAGAGGGGACTCCTAGGGGCCTGGGCTTGGGGAGCCCCCCTGCAGTCAGGATCCCAGCAGTGGGGCCTCTGGCTGCAGTCTGGACACTCCTGGACTTCACTCCCTCTTTCCCTTCCCTGAAACAAAATCCACTACCACAAAGTTCAAGTCTCACGCAGAGGCAGGGCTGACCCTAGCTCCACAAAGGGGATGTTAGTTCCAGGCACAGCAAGAGAGGCTCCTCTGTATTCAGGGAACACAGCCAATGGCCACGTCTCAGGATCATGCCCTTCGGAGAGGGGCTGGAGGGGCTGGCTCAGCTCAAATGGGGGAGGCATTTTTTCCACTTAATGGACCCAGCCTCTCCTTGGAAGGCGGGGAGAGAGGACAGAATAGAGATCTGAGAGAGGAAGGTCCCTTCTCCAGTGCAGCAACTCCGGTTCCCCCCCTCCCCCGCCATCCTTTAAAACCCAGACAAAAGCTAAAGCACCCCCCTCCTACTCTCTCTCTCTCTCTACACACACACACACACTATGACCTGCATCCCCTCCAAACCCTGCTCTTAAGCCACAGACTTGACTTCTAGACTTGGCTCTGTCCTTAAGAAAGACATCTTTCTAGCCTCAGTCTGCGCATCTGAAAATGGCATCGTCCTCCTACCTGCCTCTAAACACAAGGCACAGCTCCTGAGGGTGTTGTGTAAAAACCTTCTGCGGTCCCCGAGCTATTTAGAGGACATCATCTCTTCTCTGCCTCCCACAGCTCTTTATTTGAGCTCCTCTCCTCTGACACATCTCACTGGCCAATCTCCCCACTAGTCAGCGAGTAGCAACTGGAAGGGTGCGATTCAGCCCAGGCCCTCTAGCCCCCCGTGCTGAGAGCTTTCCAGAACCCCCTTCACTCCGATTCGCTCCGCATCCCTTCCTGAGCCCATCACCGGAGGCAAGGCAGTATCTAGCTGGAGGACCAGATCGTCATCCTCCGCAGATTGCCTTCCCCGCCTCATCTGGACTCGGCATATCCGAGATCCTGGCCAGTCCACTGGGCGCTAAGGGTGGGCCACGAGCGATCCAAACCCCTAGAGGGGCCAGGCAGAGCCAAGGAAGTGGAGGGAGACCATGCGGCCAGAGCTGGCCGCGGAGGAGGGAGACACTGACGCTGATTCCTGGGAAAGGCTCTTAGAGCTGCCGCCCAGGTCACACCGCTAAAAATACCCAGGGCCCCTGGGGCTGTCTGCTCCGGCGGGGGGGAGGGGGGGGGGCAAGGAAGGGCGAGCAAGAGGGTTGGGGAACTGGAGGGGACCACGGGCTCCGGGACGCCCCCCTCTCTTTCCCTCTCGCCCCCTCAATCCCCGGAGACTGGAGGGGGCTGCCCGCCCCGGGGCGCCGCGGAGCTTAGCGCCGGGGAAGGGAAGGGGGTTGTTTACGTAACTGAAGGTGCAGGGGAGAGGAGTGGAGGGAGCTGAAAAGATTTGCGGGGTCGAAGGCGGCCAGGGGCCCGGCCCGTGGTGCAGAGAGCTCCCTCTCGGTCCTGCCCCACCCAAAGTGGAGTCAGAGCGAGCGAAAGAATTCCCTAAAAGGGGACACGCCGCGACCCTGGGGGAAGCGGGGAAGACGGAGGGGGGCCCCCGGGGGCTGCACTCACGCTCGCCTCCCGACCCCCCGACCCCCCGGCCTCTCGTGGCACCTGCGCCTGCCCGGCGGAGCCCCTACCTGCCGCGCCCGGCGCCCCCGCTGACTCAGGCTGTCCGCTCCGGAGCGGCGGCGGCGGCGGGGGCGTGGGAGCGGGCCGCGCCGGCCGGGGTGGGGCTGCGCCGCCGGGTCTCCCCGGGGACGGACGGGCCCCAGGAGCCGGGAACGAGGAAGCGGCGGCGGGCGGAAGTGGGGGAGGGGCGGCGGCGGGCACACGCGCTCCTTGCCGGGTGCCGGGCGGCCGCCGGGAGCCCCCACGGGCGCGGGCGCTCGCAGTTCCAGGGCGGGCAAAAAGTTCCAGGCACGCGTTCCGCCCCGCCACTCGCCGGGCCCCCTGGATGCTCCGCCCGGCTCCGCGCGCTCCCGGACACTTGCTGCGCCCCGCCGGCCCGCGGGGACACGGACCCCCGAACCCCGCCGCTCCCCGACCCCCCCGGGAGGCCCCGACGCAACCTCCGCTCGCCGGCACCCGGACTCCCCGCACCCTCGGCCATGCTCCGCACTTTGAGGCACGCACCCCTCGAGAAGGCGCTCGAGCGGCAAGAGGGTCTAGGGACCCGCGGCCGCCCATCAAGGCAGGTGCACAGCGGCGGGGGCCCCCTGCCCCTGGGACTCACCCCCACAGCCCACGGTTCCTGGCTCCGGGACGATCAGAGCCGCCGCCCAGCTTTCCAGAGCACTGGGCGGGGTGGGCTCCGGGACAGGGCGGGTCGGGGGTGGAGGGGTGGGCCACTGCGCCGCGCCCCCAGACGCCGGCGGGGAGCCAAGTCCTCCGGAGTGCCGAGAGGGGCGCTGCACGTCCCGGCCGGCGCGGGTGGAGGAGTGAGACGGAAACCGTGGGCCCAGAGGGGAAAGGCTTGCCCCTCTCGCGGTGCCTCCCGGCTCAGACTAGGGCCAGACGCTCCTCCTGGACCGAGGCTCTCTGTTCATTCTCGTTCTCCTCCTCCCTTCCACCCGGCGCCCGCATGTAGATCCAGAAACCTCCCGGTTCGGGGTGCGGGGCCGTCGGTCAGAGATGCTTCTGCCGTGGGGTTACTCGATCCTTCATTCAGCAAGCATCCACGAGCAAGCCAGAAACTAGGAGTCATCCCTGCCTTCTCCCTGTCCTTCGCTGCCCACATTAAAACATCTCGATTAACTTCGATTCTCTTTCCCAAATAATCTTGGCAATCCACCGTTCGCCTCTGTTTTCACCACCAACCCTCGCTTCTGGTGCTCTGGTCCGCTACGCTCCATCCCCCACAGCAGTCAGTCATCACTGTAGAGTCCAGAGCACTGACCAGTGACCCACATGGTCATTTCAACACGCAGGTCTGAGAGGGGTGAAATGGGGAGGGAGCGGGGAGTCAAGAGGGAGGGGACATATGTATACCTATGGCTGATTCATGTTGATGTTTGGCGGAAGCCAACGCAACATCGTAAAGCAATTATCCTTCCATTTAAAATAAATAAACGTTTAAGAAACACACAGGTCTGCTGCGCCACCCTTTGTGAGAATGAAATCCGAGTGCTGATATCTAAGCTTAAATCCCTCCTTCGTTAGAACGAAATGCAGGTGCTGGTATCTGAGCTGAGTCTTAAATGAGTTCAACTGGCGGAGAAGAGGGGGAAGGGCATACAGTAGGCAGGAGCGGAGAGGTGGGGGTGGGGGGGCGGTGTGAAGAGTTGTGACCCATTCAGGCTTCTCTGTCAGGGGACCAGCAACTCTGTACAAATACCTAAAGTTCTGCCTCTCCTATTGTACTGAGATCTCCAAACCATCCTGAGAAATAAATACAGCAGGCAACTTTCCCATTATTTTACAAGCAAGGAAACTAGTTTGTGGCCAGCAAGAAGTGCAGGAGTCAGAAGCACAGGCCTGGGAACCAGGCCCTCTTGAGTTGTAAACCTAGCTCTGGTATCTAGCCAGCTGTGTAAACAATTTCTCTGATCCTTGCTTTCTTTGCCTATTAGGTAGGAATAATTAATCCCTACCTCCTGTGAGATAATTCATAAAAAATGCTAAGTGCAGGGCTCGGCACTCTGGAGATGCTCAGTAAACATTAGCTGTTTTGATTGTAATCGCTCCTGAGAAACGGAGGCAACTGCTTTCTTCCACGAATTTCTGAAATTATAGGAAGTATGCTCTAATCTTCTACAGAGCTTATTATGTGCCTGTCACTGTTCTAAGTGCTTTGCATGTATTAACTCTTTTAATCCTCTTAATAATCCTGTGAGGTAAATGCTGTTTTTCACTTCCATTTTACAGGTACAGAAACTGAGACATAGAAAGGTGAAGGGACTTGTCCAACTGAGTGATGGAGCAGGAATTTAAAGCCAGGGTGGCTCAGCAGTAAAGAATTCGTCTGCAGTGAAGGAGACCCAAGAGACAAGAGTTCTAAATCCCCGGGGGAAGATCCCATGGAGGAGATGGTCACCTGCTCCAGTATCCGTGCCTGGGAAATCCCATGGACAGAGGAGTCTGGGGAGCTACAGTACACGGGGTTGCAAAGGGTCGAACACGACTCAGCACAGCACAGGGCTCCACAGCCTGTGCTTAAAACCACGACTCGCAGTCTGCTCCCCTTTGATCCTGTCGCAGTTTTCATCTTCCAAGAAATATTTTGGTCAGTTTCACTCATTAATGGATGGAGTAGATACTTGGTCCCAGTTTCGAGCACAGAGGAATGAGGGCAAGTCAAAAGTACAGTGGCTAAGAGCTCAGTTCCCCCTTTTCAGGCCTATCCTTGAGAACAGGAATGCATGGATTATTTTGAGGTGCCCCCAGCATGGTAACAGATCAGGAACCTCTCTGTCCCTTCTGTTTGCCAGGTATTTGCCACATAGAAGGGTGGAGGTGGGGGAAACATCCAGGTTAGAAATAATTTAGGGGCTAAGCTGGAAGGGCCTTTGCCAACAAAGGTCCAATCAGGTCCGACTAGTCAAAGCTATGGTTTTTCCAGCAATTATGTATGGATGTGAGAGTTGGACTAATAAAGAAAGCTGAGCGCTGAAGAACTGATGCTTTTGAACTGTGATGTTGGAGAAGACTCTTAAGAGTCCCTTGGACTGCAAGGAGATCAAACCAATCCATCCTAAAGGAAATCAGTCCTGAATATTCATTGGAAGGGCTGATGCTGAAGCTGAAACTCCAATACTCTGGCCACCTGATGCGAAGAACTGACTCGTTTGAAAAGACCCTGATGCTGGGAAAGACTGAAGGCAGGAGAAGGGGACGACAGAGGATGCGTTGGTTGGATGGCATCACTGACTCAATGGACATGAGTTTGAGTAAACTCTGGGAGTTGGTGATGGACAGGGAGGCCTGGCGTTGTGCGGTTCATGGGGTCACAAAGAGTTGGACACGACTGAGCAACTGAACTGAAGCTGGAAGGGTGTCAGTCACGAGGAAGGCCTAGGCAGCAGACCTAAGGGTGGACGGCAGGAGTTGAAAGGAGCAGTGAGAGAGTAGATGGCTTAGACTTCTGGCTTCCATCTAGGATGCTGAAAGCTGGGAAGAGCATCCTACCACACTAAAAACAATTTTTTTAATTGTTAGGTAATTTGTAAAATTATTAGTTTTGTTGACCCCATCAGTGAGCTGAGGTTGCCGAGCAACTGATTAGCCTGAATTATTCCAAAGAAGGGCAGTCGCCTCCAAGAAGTAGGATATAGGCACTGGCACACCTATGAAGTTGGAGAAAGGGAACAGGTAAACAGGTAAGAAGAGTTCAACTACAAGTTTTATTGCTAAAGGCCCAGTGACGCTATGAGAGGTATGAGAGGATAGAATCCATGGGAGTCACAGACACTAAAAGTAATCATAGAAACAAAACAAATCAAAACCAAATTTTGTTCAACTCCTGACAAGATTGACTCAATTCTTTACACTAACAGCCTAAGAAGAAGAGATATACAGATTTCCAAGCAAAAATAATACTGAGCTCAGTCTCTGCTGTTCTACACATTATGTTCAGAAATAAAAAAGTTACAACACACACATAAAAAGGAACATAACAAAAACAAAACAAAACAAAAACCCTATTTGTTAAGAGACAAAGTAATCAACAGAACCAGACTCCAGACTTAGATAACTCTCTGGAGTTATCTGCCAGAACATTTAAAACAACTATAACAGGATGTGAAAGACTGTGTTGGAAAATATGGACAACCTACAAAAACAGAAGGGGACTGTTAGCAGAGAGAAGAGGAGTATAAAAAGGAGTCATATGGAAAATTCTAGAAATTTTTAAAACAGGTAACAGAGACAAAGAATGCCCTTGTAGGCCTTATCAGTAAACTCAACACAGCTGAGGAAAGAATCAGTAAACTTTAAGATAGGTCAAGAGAGACTACCCAAGTGGAAACAGAAAAGAGTGAAACGAAAGAAACCCAAAAGAGGGACTTCCCAGTGGTCCAGTGGCTAAGACTCTGCACTCCCAATGTAGGGGGCCTGGGGTCAGTCCCTGGTCTGGGAACTAGATCCCACTTGCTGCAACTAAGAGTTTGAATGCTGCAACTAAAGATCTTGAATGCCACAATAAAGATCAAAGATCCTGAGTGCCACAAGTAAGACCTGGTGCAGGCAAATAAGTATTTTGAAAACCTGGAAGATTCAAAGCTAACACCAGCATAATTTGAATCACACACACACACACACACACACACACACACACACACACTATTAATAGAAATAATGGTCAATAATTTTCCCAAAATAATGAAATGACCACAGAGCCAAGAAATGCACAGAATCCAAAAAAAAAATTAAATACCAGTAGAGAGGACTTCCCTGGTGGCGCAGAGGATAAGAACCCAGCTGCTAATGCAGGGCACACTAAAGTGCCAAGCCCTGGTGTGGGAAGAGTCCACATGCTACCGAGCACCGAAGTCCATGGGCCACAACTACCGAGACGCGTGCTGCAACTCCTGAAGCCCACCCACCTGGAGCCTGTGCTCCGAAGCAAGAAAAACCACTGCAGTGAGAAGCCTGCACAATGCAACAAGAGAAAGCCCGCTTGCAGCAACTAAAACCCAGCAGAGCCAAAAATAATAAATAAATAATAAGTTTTAAAAAGCAGACTTCAAAAGGATTGTTACCAAGGATGAAGAGGAACATTACCTAATGATAAAAGGTTGCTCATTTCAGCAAGAAGACTTAGCAATCATAAGTGTGTATGTGTACATCTAGTAACAGAGCTTCAAAAGCATGAGCTAAAAATAGACCTAAAATAAAAAAGAAAAATCCATAATACAGTTAGAGGATTCAAAGCTTCTCTCTCAGTAATCAATGAAACAAGTAGACAGAAAGAAAAAGTAAGAATACAGAAATCTGGAAGACTATTAACTAGCTGTTCTGATTGACATTTTTATAGCACTTTACCAGCAGAGTAAACATTCTTTTCAACTGCACAAAAACATTCACCAAGATACATCATCTTCTGGGCCATAAAACAAACCTCAACAAATTTAAAAATTTAAATCATAAAAAACATATTTTGTGACTATAAAAGAATGAAAATATAAGTAACAACAGAAAGAGATCTGGGAAACACCCCAATACTTGAAATAGAACACAAGACTTCCAAATAACCTTTAACGAGTCAAAGATAAAGTCCAAAAGGAAATTAGAAAAATATCTTGATTGAATAAAATTGAACTGTTGCAACCAGCCACCAAAAAAGCTCCCAATGTTCCTTGCCTTCTGTTTATTCATACTTTTGTATAGCTTTCTTCTGCACGCTATCAAAGTTATTCTATGTGACCAATAAAACATGGCAGATGGTACATCATGTCCATAAAAAATTTTTAAAGACCACAACTTCCATCATGGGTGTGTATTCTCTCTGTTGTTTGGATCACTCACTCTGGGGGAAGCCAACTATTATGTTTTCAACAGCCCTATTGAGAGGCCCACATGGCAAGAAACTGAAGTTCCAGCCAACAGCCAGTGAAGATCAGAGGCCAGCCAGCAATCCAGGAGTGATCATGGAAACTGACTCACTGACCCCAGTAGAGCCTTAAGATGACTGGAGCCTCGGCCAGTAGCTCGGCTGCAACTTCAGCAGTGACTGAGGCAGAACCACCCAGCTGGAGCAGTCCTGGATTCCTGATGCCAGAACCTTTGAGATGATAAATACTTCTTGTTTTGAACTGCTAAATTAACACATGTGGGGATTTGGGTATTGGGTAGGGTGCAGCTGTAACAGCACTCTGAAGTGTGGGATTAGCAGTGGACCGATCTAGACTCGGGAAGAGTGTACTGAAAGCTCAACATGCTTTGAAAAGGCTGCGAATAGAAGCCTCGAACCTGGGCCTCCTGCACTGGGAGGGCAAAGTCTTACCCACTGGACCATCAGGGAAGTCCCCATCCAGCATTTTTTTTTAATTAACTTATTTATTTTAATTGGAGGCTAATTACTTTACAATTTGTAGTGGTTTTTGCCATACCCCGACATGAATCAGCCATGGGTGTACATGTGTCCCCCATCCTGAACCCCCTTCCCACCTCCCTCCCCCTCCTATCCCTCAGGGTTATTCCAGTGCACCAGCCCTGAGCACCCTGTCTCGTGCATCGAAACTGGACTGGTGATCTATTTCACATATGATAACATACATGTTTCAATGCTCTTCTCTCAAATCATCCCACCCTCGCCTTCTCCCACAGAGTACAAAAGACTGTTCTTTACATCTGTGTCTCTTTTGCTGTCTCACATGTAGCCTGCCCAGCATTTTAAAGTGCATTTAGTGAGAGAGGTGGGGCTTCCCTGGTGGCTCAGTGGTAAAGTATCCACCTGCCAATGCAGGAGACCTGGGTTCCATCCCTGGGTCAGGAAGATCCCCTGGAGTTGGAAATGGCAACCCACTCCAGGATGCTGGCCTGGAGAATCCAAGGACACAGGTGCCTGGCAGGCTACAGTCCATGGGATTGCAAAGAGTCGGACATGACAGCATGTGCACACTCAATGGGGGGCGGGGGGCGGGGGGTGGAGAGGAATACATCTACTCCATCTTGTTCAGAACCAGAAATCCTTATTTTATGTTCTCTTTAACCCTATAAGTCCAAGTGAGAATACTTCTGGATATAGAATCCTTTTAAGCTCTTGTGGGTCACTGTGAGTCTTATTCAGGTCCATGCTATTAGACAAAAGCTATGCCTGCGATTCCTCTGAGATAAGCCTTTCTCTTTTAGGCTTCTGCTGAATTGGCTGACAGTCAACACTCTTGAGCTTTCTAGGATTCCTCTTGCTTGATTCAGAGGATCTGTGAGGCACACCCATCATTTCTTTTGAGGTCTTTTATCTGATTGAAGACTACTCTGCTGCATTGCCTGAAATCTTCCCAAGATGCACACAAAAGATTTGATAGTTACATTCTCACTTTCCTTTGGCCATGTTTTTCTGATGCTGCTGTGGATTTGAGCTTTGCTGGAAAACCATTCTTTAAAGTTACTATCATTTGCCAGGTAGAGGGGTTTGCCCATTATAGAACATTCAGCAGCATCCCCAGCCTCTACTAACTAGATGCCAGGGGCAACCTCTCCAGGTCTGACAACCAGAATTTTCGACCACAAAGTCCTGGCTCCTTCATGTTTAACAGTTCTTCCTTTTAGCTCAGGATTTCTCAACCTCAGCACTATTGACATCTCAGGCAGGATAATTCTTTTTATTTATTTATTGGTTATGCAGGGTCTTCATTGCTTCCTGCAGGCTTTCTCTAGTTGCAGTGAGTAGGGGATACTCTCCAGTTCAGTGCACAAGCTTCTCCTTGCCGTGGCTCCTCTTGTTTCGGAGCATGGGCTCTAGATGTGTGGGCTTCAGTAGCTGCAGCACACTGGCTCGAGAGCTCGGGCTCAGTAGTTGTGGTCCATGGGCTTAGTTGCTTCATGACATGCGGAATCTTCCCAGACCAGGGATGGAACTCATGTTCCCTGCATTGGTGGCGCATTCTTGTCCACTGTACCACCAGGGAAGTCCCAGGAGGGAGGAGGTGGTGCTGAGAGGGGTTTGCCCATTATAGAACATTCAGCAGCATCCCCAGCCTCTACTAACTAGATGCCAGGGGCAACCTCTCCAGGTCTGACAACCAGAAATGTCTCCAGACATTGACAAAGGTCTCCCCAGGAGGCTCCATCACGCTCACTTGAGAACTGCTGCCATTTCCCTACCACCTCTTGTGTTTTACTATAAGCAGCCAAGAAGACAGCAAGTTGCACCTTTAACACGTGATTTGGAAATATCTTTAGCTGGATCCAGGCATGTTTTCTGCCTTCCACTTTACCCCGCGTGCCGCCAATAAAAGATCCCATGTGCCACAATGGAGAGCCAATAAAAGATCCCATGTGCCACAATGGAGAGCTGGCACAGTCAAATAAATACAAGAGAGGCGATCATTCCTAAGAGTTCTCATCACAAGGGGAAAACAGGTTTGTTTGTTTGTTTGTTTTTAAGTAAACAGATGTGGGAAGAAAATACCTGCAAATCACACATCTTACAAAGGGACTCATCTAGTCTGTATAAAGAACACTCAAAACTCAACAGTGAAAAAACAAACAATCCAGTTGAAAATGAGCAAAAGATTTGAACAGACATTTCACCACAGAGCATACAGAGATGGCAACACATTAAAATATGCTCCACATCAATAGCCAATAGGGAAATGCAAATTAAAAGCACTGTGCATCCATTTTATACCAGTTAATTAAAAGTTAGTGACCATACTAAAAGCAGGTCAGGATGCAGAGAAGCTAGACCATTCAAACCTTGCTGATGGGAATGTAAAATGATATAGTCCCTCTGGAAAATAGATCAGCGGTTCCTTAGAAAACCTAAACACATACTTACCATATGATCTAGCAATCATCCTCCTTGACACTTATTACAGAGAAATTAAACTATGTCCCTGTAAAACCTGTACATGAGTGCTCCTGCCAGTTTTATTTGTAACAGCCCTAAAAGAGAAACAACCCAAATGTTCTTCAGTGGATGAAAGGTTAAACAAATCATGGCACATTCCTACCGTGGAATAATACTCAGCCAAAAAGGAACAAATTATTGATACACACAACTGGATGGATATCAAGAGCATTATTTTGAGTTGGGGGGGGGGGGAGCACCAGGCTTGAAATGTTCCATATTGTATGATTCCATTTATATAGTATAATGCTGTTGAAATAACAAAAATATAGAAATGGAGATGGGTTGCCAGGGGTCAGGGGTCAGAGGAAAGAGGGTGTGGGCGTGGCTATAAACAGCATTTGTGAGCCTGGGATGATGGAACACCTCTGTATCTTGATTGTGGTGGGGGTTACATGGATCTATAAGTGGTTCTGACATTGGAATACAGTTATTCAAGATGTTACCCTTCATGGGTGGGGAATGAGAGGACGAGATACAGGACCTCTTATTATATTTTTTGGGAATTTCCTGTGAATCTATAATGTTTTTTTTTCTTTTTATAAAAGGAACTGTTACACCTGCAACAACTTGGATGAGTCTCCACAGCATTATCCTGAATGAAAAAAGTCCATCTCGAAAGGTTACATACTGTGGGATCCTACTCACATAACATTCTTGAAACAACAAAATTGCAGAAATGGAGAATGATCAGTGATTTCTAGGGATGAGGCATGAGATTGTGGGGAGAGGGGCAGATTAACACAAGAGAGATGTTCATGGTGATGGAACACACACACACAAATGAGCGCAGGTAAAACTGACAAAATCTGAGTTAGGTCTGTCTATTGTATTTACATCAATTTCCTGGCTGAAATATTGCACTGATATACCCAACATATGTAAATCTCAAATGCATTGTGTTAAGTGAATGAATTCTATTCAAAAGTCTATAAGCTATAGGATTCCATTTATATAATGTTCTGGAAAAGGTAAAGCTACAGGGACTGAAAATACATCCGTTGCTGCCAGGGTTGTGGGTGGGACAAGGAGTTAACTACAAATAGATTACACAAGAGAATTTAGGGAGGTTATGAAACCGTTCTACACATTGACTGTGGTGTTTGTACAATAACATGCACTTACCATAGAACTGTACACTAAAAAGGGTGAATTTTACCATATATAGGTGCTTCCCTGGTGTCTCAGACAGAAAAGAATCTGCCTGCAATGCAGGAAATCTGGGTTTGATCCCTGGGTGGGGAAGATTCCCTTGAGAAGGGAATGGCTACCCACTCTAGTATTCTTGCCTGGAGAATTCCATGGACAGAGGAGCCTGGCAGGTTACAGTTCACGGGGTCGCAAAGAGTCAGATACAACTGAACAACTAACACACACTGTGAAACAAAACCACCACAAAAAAGACTAGATCCACAACCACTAGTACAGCTGTTGTAGAAAGAAAGAAGGAAAGAGAGGGAGGGAGGAAGGAGGGAAGAAAAGAGGGAAAAAAGGAGGGAAGGAAGAATGAAAAATAACAACTCTTGGTGAGGATGTGGTGAAATTGAAATGTTGGTGGGAATGTAAAATAGTGCAGCCACTATAGAAAAAGTTATGGTGGGTCCACAAGAAATTAAAATTAGAATTACCATATGGTCCAGCAATTCTATTTGTGAGTTTATACTCAAAAGAATTTAAAGCAGGGTCTAGAAGAGAGATATCTGGACACCCACGTTCACAGCAGCATTATTCACGGAAGCCAAAAAGGTGGATGCAACCCAAGTGCCCACCAAGGGATGAGCAGATAAAATATGGTCTATACTTGCAAGAGGATAGTATCCAGCCCTAAAGGAAGGGAATTCTGGCACAAGCTGTAACATGATGAACCTTGAGGACATTATGCTGAATGAAATAGGCCATCACAGCAGGGCACACAGTGTGTGATTCCATTCACATGAGGTACCTGGAGCAAATTCATAGAGACAGAAAGTAGAATGGTGCTTGCCGGGGTGGAGGGGGCTAGGGAATGGAGAGCTGTTGTTTAACGGGTGTTGAATTTCCATTTTGTGGGATGAAAAGAGTCTGGGAGCCGGATGGTGGTGATAGTTGCATAATAATGTGAAAGTACTGGACCCTACTGAACTGCCCACTTAAAATGATTAATGGTCAATGTTATGTGTATTTTACCACAACTAAAAGAAAAAAGAAAGTGGTGGTTTCTCACTGAAGTGCCTTGGATGTGATCCAGAAGGCTGACCAGCTGCGTGTCCTTGGGTATCGCTCTGCCCATAAATGGTTTTTACCGAGTAAATAGAAGAGATGAACAAGACTGAATATGGGGTGCTGCTTTAGGAGACGTTGTTGGGGTATGACATCCGGTCACGGAGAAAAACTCCTGCCCCCCTGGGGATGCACCCCCAAGCTTCCAAAGGGAGGAAAGGGAGTGACGGTGAAAAGAACCGGCTGGAACAGAATGCAGAGGCAGCCGGGCCAGCCGCCAGGGCCCACTCGAGCCCCTTCGCCTGGGAACACTCCCAAGGCCCTGACCCTCAGGACCAGCGCCAAGCCTCCCAGCCCGTGATGGGGCCTGTGTCTGGCTCACTCCCCCATATTTGGCCACCGCCTCTCTTGGCTGCTACCTTCTATTCCAGCACATGCCCCGCTTCCTCGTTCCCTCCCACACCTGTAATTTGAAAATCCACGAGCCCCACAGCCTTTTGCCTGGCGACCCTATTCTTCCTTTGTCACCTGTCGCCATCTCTACGAAGACTTCCCTGGCCTCCCCACGCTGCTCCTTAGTGTTCCAGCAGCCCGCTCACCATCACCCTTATCAGGGAGAATGCCATTTATTTTCACTTTTTCACAAAATACTTAGTGGGTACCTCCTGTCAGCCAGGCACTCTTCTAAGGCCCTGGGGGGTTAGCAATAAAGAGAACAGCCCCAAACCGCTGCCCTTGAGGAGCCCATGTTCTGGAGGGACCGCTCCCCCTCAGTGGAGGGGGACAGTGGACAGTGGACAGCGCACAGCAGGGCCCCAGCTGATGGTGCCCAGGTGGCAGGTGCAGAGGATCCTGATGCGGCCCACCAGAGTCCACCAGAGTCCAGGAAGAGCTGAGATTGTGCTGACAGGGAGAGGGAAGCCCGAGCAGGCGGAGGAGCCAGGAGAGGACTGAGGCAGACAGAGGTGGGGTGGGGTGTTCGCCTTGCCTTCCCTCCAAAGTCGCCTCCTCGTGTCTTCTCTGGTCCACAGCATCTTTTTTTTTGTTTTTACCACCCACTCACTTCCACCCTAATAAGAAAGGGCATGGCCATATAAGAAGCTGGGCAGCTTTCTGCTTTCGGCTCAGAGGAGGCAAAGGTGCAACTTTCTTCAATTGTCCCGAATCCAAGTTCAGCAGCCGCCTTCACCATGCCGCCAAAGTTTGACCCCAACGAGATCAAAGTCGTGTACCTGAGGTGCACTGGTGGGGAAGTCAGTGCCACATCTGCCCTGGCCCCCAAGATTGGCCCCCTGGGTCTGTCTCCAAAAACGGCTGGTGATGACATCACCAAGGCAACTGGTGATTGGAAGGGTCTGAGTATTACAGTGAAACTGATTCAGAACAGACAGGCCCAGATTGAGGTGGTACCTTCTGCTTCTGCCCTGATCATCAAAGCCCTCAAGGAACCACCAAGAGACAGAAAGAAGCAGAAAAACATTAAGCACAGTGGAACCATCACTTTTGATGAGATCGTCAACACTGCCCAGCAGATGCGGCATCAGTATCTAGCTAGAGAACTCTCTGGAACCATTAAAGAGATCACCCAGTCTGTGGGCTGCAATGTTGATGGCTGCCACCCTCATGACATCATAGATGACATCAACAGTGATGCTGTGGAGTGCCCAGCTAGTTAAGAACTGCAAAGGAAAAAGAAAAATAAAGGATTATTTGACAACCGAAAAAAAAAAAAGAAGTTGTGCAGTAGTTCTGGTCTTGGTCCACCTCCCCTAAAAGGCAGAGGTGAGCACCCCACATGCACGTACACCCCTCCATCTGGGTATGCTGTGGATTTGGTTCCCACACTTGCTGGGTTTCAAACTGGCCAACTTAGCGGGTGGTGAGGGAGAAGCTGTACGTCACAGGCTCTTCCAATTATTCAGATGCAGGCAGGTGGGCAGATTACTCAGAGCAGCCTGAGCTGTTGAAATCTCCCACGATCTGTCCCAGCCCCTCCACCAGGACTTTCTCTGCCCTCACCTTCTGCCACTACCTCTCTCCACTTCCCTCACCTCCTTCGGGTCTCTCCTCACATCTCATCTTGTCAGTGCAAGGGTCCTATTCCATTCTTTAAAAAGCTATTTATTTTGTATTGCAGTATAGATGATTAGCAATGTTGTGACAGTTTCAGGTGAGCAGCAAAGGGACTCAGCCATACATACACATGTATCCATTCTCCGAACTCCCTCCCATCCAGGCTGCCACGTAACATTGAGCAGAATTCCCTGGGCTGTACAGGAGGACCTTGTTGGTTACCCATTTCAAATATAGCAGTGTTCATCCTTTTTTCTTTTTCCTTTCGGTTGTGTTGGGTCTTTGTTGCCGCACCGGCATTTCTCTAGTTGTGGCGAGTTTTCTACTTGTGGTGCACAAGCTTCTTATTGCAGTGGCTTCTTTTGTGGTGAAGCATGGGCTCTAGGGTGTACAGGCTTCAATAGTTGTGGCTCACAGGCTCCAGAGCACAGGTAAAAGAGTTGTGGTGCACGGGCTTAAATGCTCTGAGGCGTGTGGGATCTTCCCAGATCAGGGATCGAACCCGTGTCGCCAGCGTTGGCTGGCAGATTCTTCACCACCGAACCACCAGGGAAGCCCCGTCCCTTTCAATACAGCAAACTTTCCAACTTTGTTCTCCATTTCCCGTCCACCTGTTTACTTCTTGTCACGCACTTCTTCCCATCTAACACTCACAGGAGTGTGCTGGAGCTGACTCGTGAGGGCTCACAGAGGCATATGACGTTTTTAGGCACTCAGCTGGCTGGTCATTATGCAACATGATCATTACAACTTAAATCATACCAACTTCATGGAATTAATGATATTAAAAACAAAGATGGAAAGTGCTCACTCAACACTTCCTAATTTCTTACTACCTTTTGCTACTATCTATGATCTTGGGAATCTTTACAACTGTAGAAATATGGTAGAAATATGTAATATATAACAGAGGTGACTGCCTTTCTGTTCAAATCTGCATTCAGTGACATCACGCTGGTAGGCTGAAGTATTCATACCACAGAAATAAGTAAATGTAACAAATCAGGTTTTGGTTTATTATCCTATTGATTGTCTAGGCCAGGAGTTGGTCCTGGACCAAATCTGGCCCACTATTTTTGTAAATAAATTTTATTGCCACACAGTCAGGCCCACTCATTTCATTATCTGTGGCTGCTTTCACATTCCAAGAGCAGTTGAGCAGTTGTAACTACATGGCCTGCAAAATTTAACGTATTCACTATCTTGCTTCTTAAAGAAGAAATTGCCAACCTCTGGTCTGGAACACCATGGAGGAAATGTTCACTGGTGGTGTTCAGTCACTAAGTCATGTCCGACTCTGCAACCCCACAGACTGCAGCACGCCAGGCTTCCCTGTCCTTCACTATCTCCCTGAGTTTGCTCAAACTCATGTCCACTGAGTTGGTGATGCCATCCAACCATCTATTCCTCTGTCACTTCCTTCTCCTCCTGCCTTCAATCTTTTCCCAGCATCAGGGTCATTTCCAGTGAGTTGACTTTGCACATGAGGTGGCCAAAGCACATGGAGGAAATGTTAATAATGTGGATTAAAGGTAAATGTGTCCTGTCTGTAGCTATTACAGGCAGATCTCACGTTATTTCACTCTACTGCACTTCACAGAGAGTGAGGTTGTTACAAACTGAAGGGATGTGGAAACTCTGTGTTCAGCAAGCCTGTCGGCGCCATTTTTCCACCAGCATTTGCTCACCTCATGTCTCTGGCCTCATTTTGGTAATTTTTGCAATGTTCCAAACCTTTTCACTATTCTACTTGTCATGGTGTTACTTTGGTGTTACTCCTACATCTCACTGAAGGCTCAGATGATGATAAGGGGTTTTTTTTATCAATTAAGTATTTTTAAATTAAGGTATGCACATTTTTTAGACATAGTGCTATTATTGTGCATTTAATAGCGTATAGTATAGTATAACTTTTATATACACTGGGAAACCAAAAGACTCTAGTAATTCACTTTATTGCAGTGATCTAGAATTGAACTTGCCATATCTCTGAGGTATGCCTATACACTGTAAATAGCCACACACAACCAAAAAATGCTGAGCAAATATACTCCCAGTATTTGAAAACAGTGACAGTAAGGAAGTCGATCAGATCATTGAGAAATGGATTCCAACATCTTCGTTTTTCCACTTTTTCACTATCTTCTTACTCTTTAGTATTAATGAAAACATCAACATTCATATTGGAATGACATCTGTTCATCAATTACAACCATAGGTTGGCTGTGGATGCAAGAGTTAGGCAAAATTTGAGAAAAGTTTACTCTAAGAGTAAACTGGCCCTACAGGATTCACAATAGAGTATTTGTAGAATTTTATTATTTTAGATTTCTTTTGGTGAAAGTTATGATAAACACACATTCACACACACATATACATTGTTTCAGGCAGCCCATTATTGAATCTTTACAAGAACACATACTGTCTCTTCTGCACTAGAATGTAAGTTCCTTGATGGCAGAATTTTTTTTTTATTCCAGCACTTAGAACACACCGGACACACAGCAGATACACATGAACGAGCACGTATGACATGAATGAACAGATGAGCACAGTTGAGAACCAGGTTTCATGGGCTGATTGTCAGACCTTATGTTCCCAGTTCCACCATTCTCCAACTGTGTTGGCCTTGAGTAAATTATTTAATTTCTTTGAACCCTGATTTCTTCATTTAAAAAAGGTGGTGGGAGAATCTTCCTACCTTGCAGGGAGATGGTAACAGTATATGCCTCTGTCTGGCACCTACTAGGTATGTGCACAGACAGGAGTCACCTTCCCACCCTCCACCCCGCCACACACACACTCCTTGGAGACCCAGCCCCGCCACTGTCACACATTTCAGTGACGTCACAGCCCCCTCCCTGGGAGCACCAGCATGAGCACCCTGACGCCCGCCTGAGTGTGGGCTGAGCTGGGGGCGGACAGGGCGCAGGTAGGGCCAGGCACCAGGCTCGCGCCGTCTGTCCAGGATGTGCCACAGCTCCAGCATGCATCTGAAGACAAAGAAGAGGCCCAAGAATAGGGTGGTTTCCAAGGTTGGACTTGGGACTGGATCTAGTGGAGGTCTCAACAAAGCATCCAACCACGCCCAGGGTGGGGGTCTTTCCGTCTAGGGGGAGGGGGAAAGGTGAAGGGGGCTCAGGAGAGTCAGAATGGGCTCCCCATTCCCACCCCAGACCAAGGTGACAAAAATCGCAGTCTAGCCAAGCCCAGTGGAGAGGCATTACTGGGCGTTCAGGGGGCTCATCCTGTGTTAGCATTTCCCCCCACCCCGCTCCTTCCCTCTCTCTGTCAGATGCAAGCTAAGGAACCACAGGACAAGATACATCAGCCTATCAGCAAAGTAATTGAGCGGAACCGACTTAAAATGGTGAGACGCCCCATTTGGGTGCCCACTAAAGACAGCCTGAGCCCCCACACTGTGCTGCTCGGGGGCTGCCACGAGTGATCCGGAAGGACTCAACGGGCCTCGCCCTGAGCTGAGCTGAGCCAAACTCCAGGTGGGGGTTGGGAGGCTATCCCAAAAAAGCTGAAGCTTCCATGTTTGTTTGGTTTTTTTTTCTGGTTCTTCATCCCTGGCAGGTATTAAAACACTTGTCACTCTTGAAGCTGCTCAAAAGCTCGAATCCTCGGATCCAAGAACTGTATAACCTGGCCAGAAGGTGTTGGAATTCACTGCTCAGGGTTCCAAAGATCCTGGGGATCTCCTCTGGGTGAGCTTGGCCTGCCCATAGCCCCCATCATGGGCCCAATAGCTGTCTTTACTAGGAACAGGCACTGTGCTAAGGAGTTTAGAAACCCTCATTTTGACAAGGCTCTGGGAGAAAGGGAGTCGTTTAGTAGCCCTGTTTTAATGATGGGGAGTTGGGGCTCAAGAGATGCTATAACTTGTTCCATTAACTGAACTGCTAAGTGGCAGAGCTAGGATTTGAAACTGTTCCCAGCTGAAATCAGAGCTGTTGTCATAAGCATGGTCATAATCATCCAGTCATGGTACTACCACCTAGGGCTCTGAGCAAGCGGGCCCCCCTCCCACCCCTCCCAAGTCATCACCACCCACAGAGTCACCCACAGACTAGTCATCCTGCTGAGGCCAAGATCCCTCCCACTTTACATCGATGCTAAGAAAGCTGACGTTTATAAGGCACCTGCTAAGGGTTTCCCTGATAGCTCAGTTGATACAGAATCTGCCTGCAAGGCAAGAGACCTGGATTTGATTCCTGGGTTGGGAAGATCCCCTGGAGAAGTGAAAGGCTACTCACTCCAGTATTCTGGCCTGGAGAATTCCATGGACTGTATAGACCATGGGGTCACAAAGAGTCGGACACGACTGGGCGACTTTCACTTTCACTCTTCAAGGGCCAGGTACCCTGCAGAGCATTTTCCCAGCTAATCTACTCTCCATAAAAACCCTATTAGGTAGACAGAAATATCTCAGTTTTCAGATGAGGGAACTAAGGCTCTGACAGGACACCTTTCTTGCCCCAAATGACACAGACAGTAAGAGGCAGAAGCAAGTCTGAACCGCAGTGTGTCTGCAAAGCCTGTGTTCTCCAAGCCGCCTTCTGCTTTGCAGGACTTGGTGAGGGTCCTGGGCCTGACACCGGGTGGGCCCCCGACCAGCGGTGGCTGTGACTCTCCTCAGTATTGTCTAACCTTGAGCGCGAGGCCTCTCCCTCCCCACATGCGCTCAGCTAGGACGGGGTGGCCAGCAGAGGACTTCAGTCTGTGACAGATACCCTTTTGGAAAGTCTAACACCTCTGGTGAACTCCCCACTCCGGTTTCCTCCCTCTAAGTTCCTCCCTCGATACAGGAGATCAAGAAACACCAAGCCCAAAGGGTTAGGATCATCTAGGCCCAGAGTTTTCCAACCCTTTTTACAGCAGCCAGCCCTAACTGGCCCCAAGCCCCAACTGTGTTGTTGAGAGGAAGCTATCCTGCCCCTCCAGAAGTGAGGTGGGATGGGGGGCGGGGGGGGGGGGGTCACTGGAGCTACTCTAAGATGTCTTGGAACAAGAAAACAATTAAAAAGAAAAAAAAAAAAAAACTAGACCAGTCCACTCTGTCAACTGAAATCCAGACAGGCAGAGCCCTAATCTAGGGGCCGATGCAGGTAAGACACGTTTCTAGTGTCCTAACTACTAGCCGTCACCAAAGGCTTTTCTAGCCTTTCACGTCCCTTCTGCCAGCGTTTGTCACTGCGTCCCCTGCCCCCAGGCAAAGGCCTCTGAGTGCTGGAGAAGCTTCTTTCCGGGTTCTCCGTGGCTTTCCTGACCAGTCCCCTGAGGCGGCGGCAGCGCAGCTGTCTCGGGGCTATCGGAGGACCAGAGCCTCGGTCCTATGCTGCTGACCACTGTTCCTCTCCCGGCCAGGTACGACAATGTCTGCGATGAAGTGGAACAAAATAACAAAGCGCTCCAGGAGGAGGCTGGGTGTTCCTACCAGAAACTGGACTCCACGAGCTTCAAGCCCACAGGGGAGCCTGAGGAGTCTGAGGAGTCTGAGGAGCCTGAGGAACGTGAGGAGCCTGAGGAACGTGAGGGGCCGAGGCCCAGGGCACAGGAAGCTACGCCCACACAGAAAGAGGAGCAGATGGAGCCTGAGGCCTCGACGGCATCGCAGGGTCACGGCCTGACCACTGGTCCCGGAGCCCAGGCAGGGCAGCCACCCACTGGGGACCCCCGACTCATCTTCCGGAAGACCCCCAAGGACAGAACTCCCATGGAGGGTGCCAAACAGCCAGAAAGAGTGAAACAGCGGGTCTGGTTTGAGGGGCTGCCCACACGAGTCCACCTCCCAGGGCCCCGGGTGATGTGCAGATCCTCCGCCTTGCGCTGGGTCAAGCGCTGCTGCACCCGCTTATGCTCGGCGTCACTGGAGATGCCGATGGTCCATCTGTACAAGGTGTGACACCACCACCGCCAGGCCAGGGTGAAATGCTGGCCCCGAGCTGGGCCCAGAGTCTTGGGGGCTGTGGCTGCTGCTGCTGGGAGGCCCGACCTTCCGCCCAGAGAGGGAAGCCCAGAGAGGTGGAAGCCGTTGACCAAAGCCATGCAGCAGGGCAGTGGGCCTCTCAGGACCCAAGCAGGGACTCCGGGAAGGAGGACACTGGGAACATGGTCCTGAGGCGAGGCACCCGTTGCCTAGAGGCCTGGGAGGGACCAAACTGCTGTGGTTCAGAATCTCGCTGAGAAATGAGCCCAGGGATTTCCAAATGTGGGGGGAAGAGGGGAGAGGGAGAGGTCAAGTAGGGCTCTGCTGCGTCCCATCCCCTCTTCGATCTACACTCTATTGTATTTATTCATGCCTCAAATAACACTTGGACTTCCCTGGGAGCTCGACGGTAGAGTCCCCTGCCAATGCAGGAGACCTGGGTTCAATCCCTGTGTTGGGAGGATCCCCTGGAGGAGGAAATGGCAACCCACTTCAGTACTCTCGCCTGGGAAATACCATGGACAGAGGAGCCTGGTGGGCTATGGTCCATGAGGTCCTAAAGAGTCAGACACCACTTAGGGATTAAAGCACCACCAGCACCACCACCAACCACAAATAGGATTTACTCTGAACAAAAAGTTCCTTAACAAAAGAAATACTTCAGCCCCTTCGCTGAGTTTCCAAGAAAGGAAGAGGGTGAGGGGCCTGGGAGTCCAGCTGAAAGGAGGCCGCCCCATCAGCAAAGCCGGCATCTCCAACGGGCCGGCGCCGCAGCGCCCCGTCCCCGAGCCCTCTCCCTGGCCCGCAGCGCCCCGTCCCCGAGCCCTCTCCCTGGCCCGCCAGCGCCCCCTGGGGGCGGTCTAACTCCCGACTGACGCTGAGGTCTCTGCTCGCAGGTGTGACCTTGGACAGGAGCCCGGGAGCCCGAGGTGTGCGGAGAGCGCGGGAGATGGCACAATCATGGGCCGGGAGGGAAGGGCGGGAGAATTCATGAGTCTACAAATAAAATCTCCTATATGCCACTGGCTCTGCCTGTTTTTCTGGGACTGGACAGGATGGAGGAAAGTCTCTCCGACAAGGTAAGGGCTGGGGGTGGGGGTGTGAATCACTACTTCAGGGTAATCTCAGTCTATCCCCAGGTCCCTGACGTCAGTGTAGAATCCCGAACAAAGAAGTCAGTGGGCTGTTCCCCTCCCCCACTCCACAAGCCGGCCTCCTGAGCTGGGCACTCCATGAAGTCATAGAAGGGGAACGTTTATTGTGTGCTTCCTGGCTGCCCGGTGCCTCACAATGACCCTGCGAGGCTAGGAGAGGAGGAAACCACTCGGCTCGGAGATGGGACGGTCCTGGGAAATGGCACGGTAAGACCTCTAAACCAGGTCTCCCGGCTGCTACCCATCCACCTCCCGAAGGGGAAAAGGTGCAACACAGCATCCAGCCCGTCAAACACGTGTGTTGTGCCCTGATTATCACGGAGCCGGATGTCAGTAGATGTCAGCTGGAAATGCCAACTGTGCCCCTCCTGGGTCACGGGAAGCACCAGTCAGGCTGGGTTTTTTGTCTCACTGCTCCCATGCTACAGACACAGCACGTCCATCCTCCAACCCCACATCCGGTCGGGGTCACCCCCGCTGTCGGTAGGAGCCACAGGGCCCTGAATGTGCCATTAGGGAGAGGAAAACTGAGGGGGCCCAGGCTTTCTCTGGATGAAGACTGTCATCCTCTATCTGCCCCTGGAGGCAGGCAGGCGCCCTCGGGAAAGCAGCAGGGCCACCGAGGGGCACAGAGCCTCCAACCCCACCCCCAGGGAGTCAGGGCAGTGATGGAGACCCGCAGATTGGGAGGGAAGGGGAAGGACAGGAGAGGCTCCCACTGCATCCACAGGTTCACACCCCTCCTCCCCACCGGGGCCCAGCACCGTGACTGAGTATCCCTGGGGTGGGCATCAGCAGAAACCAAGCCACCACAGACAGCCTGGCATGGGACCACTCTGTACCTCACTGCCCTCCACCTGTGGTCACCAGGTGCAGAGTTACCGTCCCGGGCATCCCGCCCCTCTCCCTCCACACACATTCCATTCCTGCAACCCCCACCTCAAGCTATACACCCACTCAGCCCGCAATCCAGCCTGACTCCTGGGTACTCCCCATTTCGACTCCCTTGCCCAGCATCATCAATCCCATCAACCTTCTACTCAACCTTTCCTCCCAAGTGCCTTCCATTCTGTCAAACTTCAAGTAACCTTCTGCCCAGTGGGCTATCAGCAAGCAATCAGAGCAACGCGCTCCCAAATCAACCAACCAACCCTGGGGGCAAGGGGGGCTATGCTCATCTTCATTCCAACCTTCCCCCAGGGAGCCCCACGTAGGGGATGAAAAGCCCTGAGCCTAGGGAAGATTGGCAACTCCTGCTCTGCCCAACTGGGAGCCAGAGCTGGGCCTGAGTGGCCCATGGGGAGGCCATGGAGTGAACAGACAGGAGCCTGTGTGCCCAGGCTGGCTGGGACCCAGTGTGGCCAGTGCGCTGCAGGGGGAGGCAGGATGCAGGCCTCGTGCATGTGAGTAACTCCCAGCAGTTCGCTCCTTGGAGCCTTACCCCTTCTACCTGCTGGCACTTAGGCTCAGGCACCCCGCCTCCGCTGACCCCAAAACCAGGGTCTCCCCACTACCATTCTCCTTTTGCTTGATGACCTCAACCTGAGGCTCCTCTTCAGGGGTCAGTTAGATCCTGATTTGGGCAGGATGCTGCAAATGATCTCAGAGATAAACTGACTACAGGAGAAACGGCTACCCAACAGTTAACTAGGGAAAATTGTTAAGTGTCTGAATTTGTAACAAGTCACGTGATCTCTCAGAGCCTATTTCATCTGTTTATAAAAAGAGGGATACTAACAGCCATTCCAGAGGGCTCTGAGCAAATCAGGCTTGATGTAGCTGAAATTAGCTTGTGGAACGTTGAACGTTTGGCCTTTTTTCCATGCCTCCTTGCCATAATAAAGCCCCAAGGCCAGTACTGGCCCTGTTTCTCACTTATGGGCAGTTGGCTAACTGCCCACCTTTAGGGAACCAGCTGCTTGTTTAAAAAGCCAACCTTATGTTCAAGTTCACAACCTTTTGCTAAAATAGCATCTGGATCCTGGAGGCTGCCCCTCTCCCAATGTGGGCCATGAACTATTTAAACATGATTGGAATATGAAATGGGGACGAGGTTGCTGAGGCAGACAGGCCTGGCTTCTTATCAGCTGTTTGATGCTGAGGAAAAGCTATTTATTCCTAAGCCTCAGTTTCATTGTCTGCAAAATGGGGAAAACAATGGTGCCAACGTCACTGGATTAAGTTAGAAATGTGTCACTTTACGGCGCATGGCACATAGCAGCTCAATACTTTGTTGCTGTACTTACATTATGGGCACAGGCCTGTCCCCCATCTAACAGCCAAGGCTCCGAAGAAAGGGGTCTCCTCTGTAAAATGGGGAGGGGGTCGTGGTGCCTTAATCCTAACCATTTAGATTCATGAATCACTTCTTACATATCAGGCACAGTGCTTTATATATGACATCTCACTGAACCCTCACAAAAACCCAGGAAGTTCAACCCAGGGAAGGTTAAGTAGCTTGTCCAAGGTCTCACAGCTAGCAATGGGACTCCAGGACTTAACTGGGCACTTCACGGCTGCTCTCTAAAATCTTCTAATATCAGGCCCCTAGAATTCTCCCTGGCTTGGTCAGGTAGGCAGGACAAGGATTAAAGCTCTCAGCTCTCTCTCTCTACCCCCTGTCTCAGGGCTGTTTCATCACCCTTTGCTACTTTTCTACAGAAAACCTCAAGCAAGACAATAGCTTTTTAAAAAGTACATATGCACTTTTAATTTGGCCGAGCCACGTCTGTAGCAGCATGTGGGATCTAGTTCCTCCACCAGGGACCAAACCTATGCCCCCTGCCTTGGGAGCATGGAGTCTTAGCCACTGAAACACCAGGGAAGTCCCCCAAGGCAGCAGCTTTGAATTCCCCCTCCACAAGCCCCCTCTCTTTTGGGCCCAGAATTGGCCCCTAATCCCCCGGCCCCTAAGGCTCTCTGGTCCCTTGGCTACATGCTGACTGCCCTCTGGGGATGCCAGGAGGAAACTACCCTGATCCGGGGAGTCACTGAAGACAGTGTCAGACTCACCTTCCAGAGGAAGCTAACCTGTCTCAATTGTCCCTCCCATAGACTCAAGGGGACCTGGAGCTTCCCACTCCACCCCCCGTGCCATTCTGGCCCCCATTTGGCTCTGATCTGGACAGGCCTACCCAGAATGAGGGGTTGGAGGTAGCCTCGGAGTCAGACATCCCTTTCTCCCTTACCACCCTTCTTTCGGGTCATAAACCAGTCTATGAGTACCACTATGTCCTACTTTCCACTTCTCTCTCCAAATAGCTGGAGTTGAGTAGTGAACGGGGAGAAGAACGGGGTGTCTAGCCATCACACCCTACAAAGTCAAGAGCTACACCAACTCAGTGGGGGTGGAGGTAACTTTCTGATCTAGGTATTCTTCTTTATCCTTTGGAAATAAAAACATTTCCGACATCCTCATGCTCACTTGAAAATCTGTGGCCATGTTTAATGTACTGCCTATTAGTTTTTCTTGGAAAACAAGTAATATTTACAATGCTTTTTACATCCTTAGTATTTACAACAATACAGTAGGATGAGAAAGTACAATTACAAAGTACAGATTGTTTAACCAATAAGAATGTAAACATTCTTGACTATTAATGTCTTCAGAATGAGTTTATTAATTAATACCGAAACCCAAATCCTGGTTGGCCAGCTCCTAACATAACCTTGGGCAAGTTCCTTAGTTTCCTCATCTGTAAGACACAGATGGTTTTTCCTACTTCTTCTTTTTTTGTCGGTCACACCAAGCAGCATATGGGACCCTAGTTCCCCAACCAGGGATCAAACCTGTGCCCTCTGCACTGAGAGTACAGTCTTAACCACTGGACCGTCAGGGAAAGTCAGAATACTTCCTCCTTCTGAGGGTTGTTGGGGAGATTCAGTGAGCAAGGAGGCGTACAGCACTTAGTCTACTGTTGGACATCGCTTGTACTCAGGGGATGCTATTACTTCCTCTCTGGAACTTGCCTTGAGACACTGCTTTGTCACTTTAGAATTCATCAACATCTCAGTCAAGTTGCAGCTTAGTCATATATTATTTAAAAAAAAAAAAACAAAAACACATTGGCTCCCCTGACTTCGGGCAGTTTCCAAAAAAGATCCAACTGACACTCTGGGGGCAGAGACCCGTCATATGCGGCACGGCGTCACCAGCCCTTGTGGGAAAGTCCCAAAGATGTGTGCCGCCACAGCTGGGGCAGCCACCACAGCTGGCCACGTGATGTGAGGGCCCTGAGGCTTTCCGCTAAAGGGAGTCACCTGCCTGCAGTCTCTGGCGTCTGGGGGAACCTACCGACGCAGGGGAAGCCAGCTCAGCCCAGTCTCACCTCGTGGACTCCGCAGCCAGGATTAGAGGCCCACTAACAACCCGTTCCCTCCCCGCGTGGCCAGGGCGCCCTGTGCCTGAGGCGCTTCACCCAAGCCTTTGCCCAGCTTCTGCCCGGGCATGTTCACGCTTCAGCTTTCGTCCTGTCAGCCTCCACTTCCTATCCTGCAGGACTGGCAGCCAGGAGGCTGGAAAGGCTTCCGGGGGAGACAGCACAAGTTTCCATCTGCGTAGCCCTAAATCTGAAAGAGGAACTCTGTCAGCTCGCTCAGGGAGGCTGCGCAGGGCCCGCGGGTAGCAGCAGTGGTTTCCGTGAGGAAGTGGGTCTAGACCGGTGCGTTTCACTGGGCACAGTCAGAAATCACTGGCAAGTGGGAAAGGCATCCTGAGTCATGGCGGTTCACCAAGGTGAAGCGGAGAAGGCTACAGGTGGGGCTGGGACACAGGAGTTCCCGGCGCTCCATGTTTTAACCAACTGGAGGAACATTTGGGCTCAAGAAGGAAAAAAAAAAAAGGTGGCCTAATAATTCTTTATAGCTCCTGGCTCTAATGAATGTCTGACTGTGCTGACCCCTCCCAGTCCCAAGCATGGCATAAAATAAAGCGCAGGCAGAACCGTGGAAAATACTGTATTTATGAACACAGGAAGGGC